ATATACATTTATAATAGAATGACCCTTTGATAACACCTTAAGTGAAATAAAAAAACCGGTCGATCCCAGCCGTAGCCGGAAAACTTGAACGATTACTTTAATTACGACAATACCAGCGATCCGTCACGTCACAGCGATCCATTTTAGGGAACGATTACTCGCTTTTGATTTTCGCTCTCTGTCACGACCGAAGGGAGACAACGATTCTCCCTGTTCTACGCGATAACGATCGATAACGTTTACAGGCCGTAAATGTAACCACCGAGGGAGGAAATTCAGTCGCCATCGCCGTCGTGGAACATTAAGCGAGGCCTCGGTCGCGACCAAAGTCTCGACAGACTATTTTAACACAGCATTAGTCCTACGGAATTTCAGACATTTAACGATCGTGACGGCCGGACCGAACTTTCCCCTCTAATCCGTCAATTAACACGTTTTGTCTCGATCATACCCTGTCTCTCATTATCGCCGACGATTCCTACGATCGCTCTCCTTCGTATTTTCTCTTTTTTTTTTTTTATTATTTATTTTACCTAATATCGACGCATCGTACGACCTCGTAAACGGCGCTATTATCAAGCAAAGTTACGTATCGAGGAAGAAACTTCTAAGCGAGAGGGCGCCTTCCGAAATAACCTGCCCGACAGACGCTTAAAACACTCTAGGAAGACGGTGCACGCCTCGAGAGACCGAGAAAGATGTGTACCGAGATCGCGTAACGCACGATCGAGACTTTTAACAACTACATGTCTTAAGGTCTACGACTTCGTCTCAGCCCTTCCGGCGCCGACGAGAATTCCCCTCGTTTGGAAAATCTGAGTCAACACTTATGATAGAGTAACGAGACATTTACACGCCAATTCGTGGATATATCAATACTTAATCGATCGCGTTACACGAGGAGAGAAATTCGGATTATACAGTTTCAGCGCGGAAAGGGCTGACGTTTATCATCGCTGGATAAGGGAGAGTTCTTTCAGATACACTGATAAAAAATCGATGCAATTTTACATACATTTTTGCACACCCTCGTAACTGCAGTTTTCACGCAGATAAACGAAAATTGGAAACACCGTGCAATAGAAAATGTATGGATAGGCCTAACACCGTGTGTTTACCGTGTTAATGAATTTTTACTTGAATTGAATGTCAAGTTACGTCATAATTTTCATTAACTTAATTGTAATGCAACAGCAATTTACCGTGACGGTGAAATGATCAACTATTTCTTACATAAATCTACAAGTTATAATTGTCATTAACTTAACTCAGACCACCGAATGTGACGTCACAGGGACAATGTAATTTCAATGGAATTGCCCTAGTCTTCGAAACAACCAACAATTGAGTATATAAATTTACATTGGAGTTTTTATCAGTGTGCGCACAGCCGCAACTTCTAGCGAACCAAGTTTGGTTAAACAACGCTCGAGAGGCGTACACGTAATTTTATCTAATTTCGGCCAGATTACTCTCCGGGTAATGATCATCATTAAGGGCCTCTAAGAAGGACCTCCCCTCCCAGGCGGTTGTCTAATTTTCTTCAAGATTTTAATATTCGTTTCCCATTTCCCGGTTCTTGAAGCGAAGAGATATCCCTTCTTAGAGTTCCTCCCTAAAGGAGCGACCGAGCGCAATTACGCCCGCCGTGCTCTCCCCCGTTTAATTGTGATAATTGGAGTAGTGCTGATATTTTTTCCTGGTCGCGTACAGGCACTCCCCTTCGCCGATTGGTAGGCATTGGAAATACAGAAGTAGACATCAGTTAAAAAATAGACAGACATGATTTCTCTCAGATGCACTCTCCTCACGTTAACGTGGTAATCGGCCTAAATGCTCATAACAAGGCACACGCATGCAACTTGGAAGTCAGCGAAGCGCAGCTTGCAAGGGAGTTGCAGTCACGGTGCAGCCTGCTCCCGTTCTCACCGCGATCTTTGCAATGCCCGTGAGGTAACTCGATTCGCCAGGTCAGTCAGAACGAAGAAGTATAAAAAAAAAAGGGAGAAAAAAGAGTACAAAGAAAAATAAGAAAAAGTACCCGCGCAAGGTTGCCCGCTAATTTCCAATCGAATTTTCCAGCCCTTCCTCCCCCGACCGAGCTTTCGAATTCGGAGTAGCGCTGCACCCTGCTTACAAACTCGGCAATAATTAGCAGGGACATCAGAGAGCACGGGACAAGAGGAATAAAATGGAAAGAACGAAAGGGGAAAAAAAAAAAAAGAAGACTCCCCGGTAGGAGGCGGGAATAAAATAGAGATAGAGAGATAGAGAGAGAAACAACTCTTGGGCCAGTTGACGAGGAGGGAAATTATATTTTGCCTCGGCAGTGTTCGGAACATAAACGAGAAACGCGGAAACGATACCGGTAAATAAATATATATCTATCTATAAATATATATCTATCTATATATATACACATGTACATATATGTATACATATGTATGATTTACGGATATACAAAAGATCTCTCTTCACTGGACGATCCAAACCGGCAAACACCGTCTACGATAAATTAAATCGAAGCCACGAAGAAGCTTAAACGAGTCGACGCGACGTTCACGGTTCGTGTACACGCAACACCGAAAAAAAAAAGGGGGGGGGGGGGGGGCATTTCGTCGCAGGGCCGACGAAGAGGGTCGTCGACGTGTCTTCCAGGTTTCTCCACCTCCTCGAAGAGCCTCCACGTGTCGGGTACCTCCTCCACAGGGCAAAAACGAAAGTCTTTCTATTCCTCGCGAGTATCTCGACTCGATATCCCCGGGGATCCATCGGAGGCCATCTTCTCGGCATCCACTTCGGGGTCTTCTTCAGGTTCCCCTCGTAATTCCTCTACCACTTGCAATAATTATTCACCGGTCACACAGAAACGAATCGATCGTCGCACACTTTACAGAATGTCCTTCCTTTTTTTTTTTTGCGTTTACTTTTTCTCTCTCCAGTCCCTGTTTTCTCTTCCCCCGATATCACTGCATCGACAACACTCTTTGGCACTTGAAGAATTAAATAAAGAAATAAAGAAAGAAAAGATTGGGAAAAAAGAAAAGAAATAATAAGAAAACCCGCGAATCCGGCGAGACGCGACCGCGGGACTCGCTTAACCGGGAACTTCTTCGTGAAGGAAATAAATAACTATAAATAAACAAACAAGTCTCCCCGCGATATCGCAGCTTCCCGGTCCAATCGGGAGGGGTTAGCACCTCGTTTTTAGCACTTTCAAAAACTCGGACGAAGGTGCTCGTGGTGCTCCGTCATAGGGTGGGCCATCTTCTCTGGCGAAACACGTATACATTAGACCAATTTATCTCGGTTTGCAGGTTACAAAAAAAAAAAAAGAACAGACGAATAAGATAACAAAAATAAATCAGAATACAATAAGAACGGCACATACGGCCTCGTCCTACGACTGTTCACACATTTGGATATATATATATAAAAAAAAGAAAACAAAAATAATAATTTCACACCAGTCTCTCCGAGGGAGTTAAATACTTCGGGGTTCGACCTCGTCACACACATACATACACCAAAAAAAAACACACACACACCTCGTTAACACCGTGAGATAATTCTCAGAATAGTTATCGACTCCTCTCCCTGCAAGCTTGACACTTTGAAATATGGCGATCGCGTCTTTTTCCTCTCGTTGAAGGGGGAATAAAAAAAAAAAGGAGAAAAAAAAGAAGAAAACCCCGCAAATTCGTGTAAATCCGTGTACACGTTTCTTATCACGTTATCACGTTTCTCGTAGACGAAAACAACACACCGGCTGCGAAGGCATGCCAAAGGGGATGATTAAAAGGCCCGAATGATATGCTCGCCAAACAGTCAGAGAGGCGAGGTGTGGGAGAACGTAAACGAGAGTCCAAAGGAAAGAAAAGGAGAGAAAAAAAAGGAAGAAGAAAAAAGACGCAAAGAAACAGAACGCGCCAACCAAAGGTGAAGAGCGATAAGACGAGAATGTAAAAGGAGGAAACGGCACGAGGGGAGAGAGGTACCACTTACATTACTAGTCCTAATATATAAATATAAATATGTGTATGTATATGCCGTGAACATATACACATATAAGTAACACACATGTAACTCTACCCAATGCCCGACAAAGAGGAGATAACGAAGGACTAGACAATTAACTAAGTGAACGTAAACGGGCTGCGCACTTTTTCGAGCAATGCACGCGCGAGTCGTCAATGGAACGTACATACAATGTCGTACATACGTCTACGAGAGCACGAAAAGAACCCCTATTGTTTTTGTCCTCTAGCATATATCTCTTCGTTCATTGTATCTTTTTAAAAGAATTCAGGATACGTTTAGTGCAACGAAAGACGTGTGTACACATGTAGTAGATGCATAATACCGTGTACCGTGTAGATTTCTGTATACGTATCGAGAAATAGAGAGAGAGAGAGAGACAGAGAAAGAGGGAGAGAGAGTTAGAGGGTAAAAGAAGGTGCGAAGCTACGAATTTGTTTTCAACGCCCGACAGCGAGATCGTTGACTTTGTCGAAGCCTCGTAAGAGGCTTTTCCTCCGGTAAGACACGTTACACATACATTACGGATTATGTGTCCCTTTTAAAAGCACTGATAAAAAACGATGGAAATTTACATACATTACTACAGGCAAGTTTAGCCCAACTTTTCGACAAATCACTAAGATACTAGACGAGAGATCAAAACAAATATCATTAAATATACATTCAACGCGTCTTAGCTTGCATGCAATTGTGTATATGCAAGTATACATACCATTAACCGTGTAAACGGACAATTAAAAAGCGAGCGTCGAGTCAACTCTCCGCTACCGGGCGGTAATAAACGGTTAGTAAGAAAGAGAATGCGAAACGATAAATCATAGAGGAAGAGAGATTTATCGGACAGTGGAGGGAGGCAAAGACAGAGATTTTCGTAAAAGGGAGAAAGAAAGAAAGAAAAAGTGATTTCTCGAAGGGAAGACGTGACAAACACTGTTAACGATCATGTCGAGTGTACTCACCACGACTCTGGTTGTAGCCGGCTTGCCAGCCCGCGTAGTACGCCGCTTTCTGTTTTCCATGTTCCTCGGCGATTTTCACGCTGAGCGGCTCTGAGCCTCCCTCGGGTACGGTGCCGTGAAGCCGGGCGATCGCCTCCTGGGCCTCCTCCCTTTTGTCGAATCTGTCGAGATTGGGCAAACCGATAAAGTCTTAGAATTAAAATACACCAACCGGGGCCCGATTCGACGCACGCGGCCTTAAGGCGACATGAAAACTTCATTCTATACATATAAAACGTCAAAACATTGATAAAACCTTCCTCCAAATCGTGTGCACCAAATCATTTGGCACTTCAGCATGTGATTATCGAGATGTGTTCGGAACATAAACGAGAAACGCGGAAACGATACCGGTAAATAAATATATATCTATCTATAAATATATATCTATCTATATATATACACATGTACATATATGTATACATATGTATGATTTACGGATATACAAAAGATCTCTCTTCACTGGACGATCCAAACCGGCAAACACCGTCTACGATAAANAACTTCATTCTATACATATAAAACGTCAAAACATTGATAAAACCTTCCTCCAAATCGTGTGCACCAAATCATTTGGCACTTCAGCATGTGATTATCGAGATCCTCAGGGGGAACGTGATGATCATAAAATTTAATTTAAAAAAAACAATGTGCCTTCGATTCTAGTCTATGATAAATACAAACATTTTTTTTTATTTTAATGATATTTTATCAGCATCGCATTCTTCTTTAGGGCCCCCTTAGTGCTGAAGTTTCAAATGATTTGGTGTACCCAATTTGGAGAAAGGTTTAGAAAAAGAAGGTAACTTATTCCTCGACCTAATATAAGCTATCTGCACCTGCCAGCCGCGAGATTTGACATAACGGCGCTTTTCTATAAACAGTGGCAGCACCCTCGAATTCGCAAACGGGTCGAGCGGCCCGATGGCACTCAAAGACGTAAATCGCAATTGTGCAAGTCAAGGGGGAAGAGAGAAACAGAGTCGAGCACGCAGAAATATTCTGGCACGATCCGACGGTACGCGAGAGGGGCTATTCGCGCGTCCCGACCGGCCGTTTGGGCTTGCATAATGTCGTCCAGTTTAATGCGACGAGAGTGACAGCTGGGCAGGCGAATTTTGAGTTTAATCCAATTTTCGGATAGACCGGGTTTTTAGAGCTGGTTACACACTCGAAACGAGAGCTTCTGGGTGCCGCAAAAGAAAAAAAAGAAGGAAAGAAAAGCACGTGCACGTGCACCTCACGATGAGATCGAGAGGTTAGGTCGCCGGGACTGACGCAACGCGAACCGAACGCGAAAGAGGTTATAATCTCGTCGACGTGCGATCCGGAGGAAACAGAAAAGCATTCCCGGTCACTCGTTTTCTACTACGCCGCGTTACTAATTGTGAAAACAATGGCTAGATGCCAGTCGATTCGAGCTAGGCTAGAACCTCCCTCGGCCTTCCTCTCGACGCCGGACGTGATGTTTATTTCGCGAGTCCTCGCTAAATCACACTTGGACAAGTGGACCAATGATTTATGCGATTCAAAGAACGAGGATAACTCAACTTACCTAACGAAGGCGACGCCCCGGGGCAGTCCGGTCAGTTTATCCTTGAGGATGTTCTTCTGCACGATGTTTCCATACTTGCTGAAGATGTCATCGATCTGGCTCTCCGTTATATTTCTGTAATTTTAGAAGACAGTACTGTCAAACAACATCGGTGTATAAGAGAACGCTACGAATTAGGGAGATCCATCGTGCGTGTGCGTACCTTGGAAGATTTGTAACGTAAAGATTCGTTTCCTTGATCTCTTCTCCGGAGGGACGTGCGAAGGACACCTTCAGCCGTTTGTTCTGCACTTGCAGTCCGTTCAACGTACTTATAGCAGTCGCAGCATCTTCTGCTTTCGTGTAGTTCACGAAACCAAATCCGTAACTGTATCCAGTCTGTAACGAAACAGTAAAAACTGATTAAATATATTTAGTTTTGCAGTCAATTTTTGACCGATCGTTGCAACTTTTCAAAATATTTGAGAGAAAGAAAGAGATCGCACTTACTTTATAGTCTTTCATGACTCGACAGGACTCTACCGGTCCGATCGTCACGAACATGCTGTAGAGCTCCTTCTCCGTCATACTTTGAGGGAGGTAATTAATAATGAGGTTGGTACGTGGTTCATCCTCGTCCTTGTTTTGCTGCTGGTTATGTTGCTGCTGTTGAAGCTGCTGTTGGTGCTGCTGCTGTTGCTGTGGGTGTTGCTGTTGCTGCTGCTGTTGTTCGTGTTGATCGGTCATGTTGCGGAACCTGCCAAAGTCCCTTCCAGCGGAGTGGTTCGATCCTTGGTTCTGCTGCTGCTGCTTCGGTTGGCTCGAGTTGTCTAAGGGCTGCTGCCGTTGTTGGGCGTTCCAGCTGATATCGCCGAGCAAAACCATCGACAGGGTCGGCAAATACAAAAAATATAAACAAATCCATTACTAGGTCTTCCCCGCGATATGCCATGATTGCCCAATGGCCTGTCTTTATTGTCGCTTTTTTCTCTTTAAAAGCTTTTAAAATAAATAGAAAATAAATGTGCGTGTGAGTGATGCCAGACCTGTGTACGAGAAACAAACAAACAAAGGCAAGTAAGGACAAAACGGAACGAGCGAATTAAAATTAAGTGAAGGAACGAAGAATCCATCAAGCAAAGCCGTAAACTAATGCATCCAGACGGTTGGCACCGGGGTATATACTAAAGGCATACCAAGGAATGCATTTGCAATAACCATGTACTAACTTATAACTCCGATACGCACATTAATCACCGCGTATAGGCCTCTACTAACGAAACAAAAATTCTAGGTTACCTATAATTTCCTCCTTCCATAGCCGATATAGCTTTAAACAATTGTCCAAGTACAAAGCTCCGTACTAGCAGAGTCCGAGAAGCGATTCGTTACCAAAAACAAAATACCACCGAGTCCTATGGGGATCCTCGATGGGGCCAGTGGCTGCTCGTTATTTTAAGCTACGGTTAGAAGAATGCATATGAGATCGCTCGGCCAATTCGTTCGTATGGTTACTAATTGAAAGTAGGTCTTCCCTCTCGCGAAAGCCCCCGAGAGTCGATATCCTATTCGCGGCACCGAAGGCACGTAAATTTCGCCATGTGCCAAGAAAGAACCTGGCAAGCGCGATAAAACGGACGCGCGTCCTCCAACAGCGTTGGGAGGGGGGAGGAAAAACCGTTGAAAATGATCCCGCAATTACTTGTTTATCGGCGTCCCCGAGAGGCGCTGGCTCAAAAACTGGCACGACTAGAACCGCCCGCGCACCAAGGAGGCCCAAAAATCGGGAAAAGGAAGACGAATATCACGGAAAGAGGAGGCTAAACGCAACGCGGGTCAAGGGGGAAATCCCGGCGGAATTTCTGAATCGACCAAGCTGTCAGAAGGAGGACGGAGAGATACGAAGCCAAACCCGACGCTCGGTGCGCGCGAGAGAGAGAGCGAGACGCCCGGACGTGAAACGCGCCAATCGGACAAGGACGGAAATACGAAGAGTACAGGCTACTCTAAACGCAGGTATATAGAGACAGAGAGCGAGAGAGAGAGGGAGCGATATACAGGGGAGGGCGAGCAAAGGGGACGCACGCAAAAGAATAAAAGAAAGTCTACCAAAAGCACGGACTCACTCACGTCACTCGTATGCAGTTAGTATGCACGTACAATTATGTAAGCACATTGCGCGAGTACGTAGAAGTGGGCGAAGGGAGAAAAAGAGAGCGAGCGAGCGAGCGAGCGGCCGAGAGAGAGGGGGGCACATACGCGCGCGGACGCGACACCAAGAGACCCGATGCGACGCGCACAGCTCCTGCCGGGACACGACTGACTCGCCGGGCGGGAACGCACTGAGCTCGGCCCAGGCACTGACGCGCCATCGGCGCCGCCATCTTGCGGCACGCCACCGAACCGCGCGACGCCGCAACGCCCCGACCAACCACGCCAACTTTTCTTTTTTTTCCCTCTTCCCTTTTTTCCTCCTTTCTTTGCCAGCGCACAAATTGTTTACCTCCAATTGCCGGCAACGAACGAGGGTTTCTCAAGCGAGATCCGATTCTCGATCCGGGCTCCGAAATTCCGAGATACGGACGGCAGAAAACTCACCACGGTCGGAAGGACGGTCTCGCGCAGCCACAACGCGGTGTTCGGGATGCTCGACCGAGTGCTCCCTTCTACGTTTGTTTACTAATGACCGTAACGCGCCGCCCGGACGACTGAAACTGAGGGTTTTCGGCACCGGTTGACCGCTTTTTCCCGACCCCTCCGACCGTACCCCGGAACAGCGTTGCCGCTTTTCGAACCTGGCCAAAATGACCAAACGAAAACTTCCAAGGAAAAAGGATCCCCCGACCGTCTATCCCCCTTTTCCACTTTCCCCTAATTTCCCACCATTTCGCAGAGCATTGTTTTCCTTCTGATATAAACATAACTTGAGCCTTGCTATCAGGGTTCGGTAGGGATAAATAGAAATTTCAGTGCGTTATATTACCCTGGTAACGTAACGTTCTACATATAATATTCTACCGTAAACTACTTGGTTTATATAATACATATACGTCAAAAACCTCGAAAAACCCGAAATTATCCAACCCTACTTGCCATTGAATCCACCCCGCAGTGAGTGTTGAAAAGTGACGGGAATCATCTCACGTGACCACGCACCCGCTAAAACCGCACTTTTGTCCACTGACAAAAGGATCAAGCGAGGAGGGAGATACCGGGGTTAACGAGGCGCGATAACGGAAGGCACATAAATCCAATCGAGTAATCAATTAGTCAATCACACACCGCTCCGTACGTAAGTCCCCCAATAAATCACTCAACTCATGTATTCCTCCTTATCGCGACTCCGAAATTCCATTCATCGCCGAAGTTCGTTAACGGGAGGTCGACAAAAAATATCCCGTATTTTCTAAATTCCTCTCCAGTCACCCATGAATGTTAAATCCTGTTTTCTGGGTGGATTACGATAAACCTTGTTTCATAGCGTTCCTACTTTATTCTATCTTTTTATTTTAAGAGTAGTGGGCGTAAGCGAAGAGACGCGGAAAAGAAAGGAAGACAATGAGCGAAGAAATCAACGGATCGATTTATCGATCAATGGATGCTCTTTGGACGATTTGAGGCTGAAAAATTATGAAGATGACATCCCGGAGGGATCCAGGGCGTTACCGACGTACCTCGTGGTGGAGCTTCCGGGATATTTTAACCTGAAGAGGGCTGGGACTGTCGTTAGGTCGTTAGATCGTTAAATTGTTAGATCGCTTCACCGCTTCGCCGGGTCGAAATCAATGAAACTAATCTCCAGAAGAACGGACTCGACTTGAATGGCTTTTCGCATCTTTCTTCTGAACGTTTTTAACAAAACAGTATCGTCCATACGCCAGGCGATTGTCAATTTTTGCGACATCGCGCATTTTCTGCGATTTGTGCGATTCTTCGATTTTCCTCGATTTTGTTTACTGCGTTCGCGTCTTTGCTCTGCGATGAGATAAAGCTATTTGGAATTTGTACTGTATAAAGGCATAGAAAGTGCAGAAGACTCGGGGATATCTTTAGAAAAAAATGTATTCGCTAAGAATTCACAGCGAGCTGTAAATTAGATCGAAATCTTCTAGACCTTTCGGAGAACATGAAAATGTTAACGAATAATTATGTACGAAGTTAAAATATTTATTCCATCGGCTCTTCCGTTAGAATTGGATTAAAGGAAACGTTTAAGCTACTGATAGCAGCTTAGCGTTCATCCTGCTCCGTCCGTTACCATTATGGAGATATCCTTTAAAACACTGGCTAGGCTCAGTAGTTCTCAATGAAGTAACTTAACGGTTCTTCCTCTGTTTGCAATGCATGTTCTTTATTTCCTTCTCCTGTCGTACAGCTGAATATTTATTCGGCAGACTCGCATTGCATTCGACCCTATTCTGCGTATTAGCATCATGGAGGTATACTTAGATACGCCCTGTGATCTTGGTAATGTTCAATAAATAACGTAACTAATCTGCCGCGGTAAGCATCCATGTCCTGTCCCGCTCTCCCGCTGTGCATCAAAAGTATTTATTTTTTTAACTGATATCTTACGCTCAACCAATGCAAAAGATCTCCTACGGAGCCTCATCCTACGATACTTTATGAAATCATGAAAAACAACGTAATCAGTTTTCCTGCTCCGTTGCTCGCTCTTCCGCATTCGCCTTTTCATTTCCCGGATGTGCGATTACTGTGAACCAAAAGGAACATGAGAATAATAAACCTGGAGATTCGATGGTCCCCTCTCGAGACGTCATGCGCGTTCTCGTTACCGAATTACCACTGCAGTCCGACTGCATTGCATAGGCACGCAACTATGGCGTTTTGTTTCCAGTCAACGGAACGCATCGTGTACCTTAACCTAAATGTTAGGACGATTCCCTAAAAGAAAATTTCTTCACGGACTGTGTCCGATCTTTTCGGAGCGTCGATATGAGACCCAAATATGACTCCAAAATTGTTTAATGGTAAGAAAGTACTAGTGTGTGCGTAACTCACTTCGGTTGGCGATTCATGTAGCCTTCCATGATCCGAGCTGGAGGGTGCTTGGAGGTCCTAACCTTTTATGGCACATATCAGATCGCGGATACGGAACGACCCTCTTGCGGTGACCGATTTTTCTCTTTACGCGCACTAGTCCCTTTGCCGCCGAGTTGATTTTTGGGTGCGGTGTTGCATTTTGCGGTAATTTTACGACTGCGCAGTATACACTCTCCTGCGCATTCGCGCCTTTCCCCTAGGTTATGGCGTCAGCCAATCAGGACGCTGAACGCCACTGCCATCTCTGCCTCTACACGTAGCGGTAATGGCCGCTCATCGATCAACGGCGCGCAATCTCGAATATGATTTATCAAAGGTGTAATAAGAAACTTCTATAATACATTCGTTTAAGTTCTATTAAGACTTAATCAGACTTGACAATGCAAACGCTTTTTCTGGTGTGTATCTTCCTTAAGAGATATAAGCACTTATGGATATGTCAATACATAATACAAATATGAAATGTATTACAGCGTACATTTCAGTGCATACAAAAATAAAAAAGAATCTATGCTACACGCGTAAACTTAGCTGCAAAAAGCTGCGATAATGTTAGTAAAAAGTTGCCATGTGCAGGACAGAGTGGGTTATGAAGTATCGAATATAAATACACGTATTGTCTTTAGGTGCTTAATTTTAGCAAGTGTACGGTTGCAAGCAAAATGCATAACCCTTGCCATAATACGCTTAGGTATCAGAAAAAAAAAACTGAGATGACTTCATCTATCTCAGGGCGGAAAAGCCTTTGGCTCTCACAAGACAAAATGGCCTGAATCGGTCACGTTCCTGTCTACCTTTAGGGGTAGCGCTCGATGGCGGAGAGTCATTTTCTTTGTCCCAAGCACGCTTAGGAGATTCTATACCAAACGGACTGTACAGTTTTGTTGGCGTACGGCCTAATAATCGCCGAGAACGTGTCTGAGGAGTTTGCGTCGTGCAAGAGCTATTTTTCGGAGATTGCTGCTCATCGAGCCTGTGACGTCGGCGAGTGGAACTTCTAAATTTCTTTGACATAAAAATGAATAATAAAATTAAAACAATATAACTCACATAAAGTATAATCATTGTTAACAACTAACCTGAGATATCGTCCCAAATGTAGTACGAACGGAAGAAATTGTCTTAGACAATTTTTCCGCCCCACTCCTGAATGCTCGTCTGGAATCTGCCGAGACATTACCGAGGCTCAAATTGTTCCATCCCCTTTCTGTAGAGTCCCGCTCTTCTGATACCTTTTCTTTTCCATTGCTCTTTTCCTTATCCACAATTTTCTCTTTATCGAATCGATCTTGCAATCTCTGTCGTAAATTTCTGGAGCATCGAACCACCTCGGGCGAGCTTCCAGGCGGTAGGATTTCACGATGGAATGTAAATGAAACGCTTCTCGAGTCCGGTCGCATGGTTTACTCTCTGTCTGTATCACCGTTTACTATGTGTCCTTGTGAAAATAAATTTAAAATCAGTTCAATTGAAATTTTGCTGTTACTAGTATTGTCCGAAAGGGACTAACCGTTACTTCACGTTGCTCCGTGGTTTTTCATAACGTGGACGAGTCGATTGAATTAAAACAATTCTGGCGAATTCTACCTCCTATCCTTTATCGTTCCCAGAACGTCTTTTCGAGGCATACAGGTCAATCTAGGCCGAAACGTTACAATTACACGGAAACATACGCAACCGGACGCAACGGAGTCCGTTGCGAATCGTTGCAGTCCGTTAGATTCGTTGCCAGCGCCAGCTGGCGCCCTTCGCGCATTCTTTAATAAAGCCGACAAAAACCACCCTCGACGCTGCGCAGAATCGCTTGCAGAGGGACGCAAGAGAAATATTGAACAGAGAAGAGTTGGGAGATTGCTTACGGGCAGGATGGTGCGATCACATCCTGTGCTGCCCTCTGTTTTCGTAAGTTAGCTTTCACCGTTTTTTGCCCCCAAGGGCGGCGCAACGAACGCGTGCCCCAAAGCTCCGCATCACGTCGACTTCGAGGCAACAATGTACTTAATAGTAGTAGATAAGTAGATAAAGTCAAATGGGGCGTCACGAGTGTTCTTCTCTTACCATCAAAAGCGAGTAGTTCGTTAAGCGTAGGTAAGCCACCACCGGCAACTGCCGCATGGTATTACCATCACGAGTACGTGAGCCGTTAACGGCGACTGGTAGATGGTACCGCCATCGCGAGTGCGCGGGCTCCTATCAAAAATTCGTTGCGCCGCCCTTGGGGGCAAAAAACGGTGAAAGCTAACTTACGAAACCAGAGGGCAGCACAGGATGCGATCGCACGATCCTGCCCGTGAGCAATCTCCCAACTCATCTCTGTATTGAATCGAACGTTTATAAAAGTAATGACTCGAGATAAAACATACCGACAATATTTGCAAGTACTCGCGAAATGTTTATGAAGAACTCTACGCTTAGATGCGTTCTTATAATAGACTAAAGTCGTTCAAGAAAATGACACAACGGTATATTCTGGCACGAGAAAAGTAGCACCGATTTGTCTGTGTGTATCATTTTGATTCGGCCTTAATTTTGAGAATTAGTAAATACGATACGAGTAAGAAATATCCTGGAATCGGAGAAAGTTTGAGGCGGGGAGTATATATGTACATACATACCGCTGGTTGCGCCTGCTGAGAAGAATCGATTGACACCTAACCTAAATATCCGAAGTCAAGTATCCGAATACAGGAGGGATGGAATTATGTTTTTAGTTGAGGGAGGATTGCTGGTCATTTCTGGAAGTATCCTTGAACCCACGCAGAAAAATTGGGTTATGCTGCCAACGTGAGTGTCGACGAAGAGGTTCCTGGATTTACGAGAGCTTGTAGAAATAACAGAGCAGGCGAAACCTCAACATGAGTTACAGCAAGAAGGTCTCGTATTTTTATAATCCGGACGTAGGCAATTTCCATTATGGGCCTTGTCACCCGATGAAACCTCACAGACTCTCCGTAATCCATAGTCTGGTTCTAAATTATGGATTGCACAAGAAGATGCAAATATACCGACCTTATCGTGCCAGTACCCACGACATGTGTAGGTTTCATTCGGACGAGTACGTGGAGTTTTTGCAACGAGTCACACCGCAGAATTTACAAGGCTACACCAAGTACTTAAGCCACATTAATGTTGGCGACGATTGTCCGGTATTCGAAGGACTTTTTGACTTTTGCTCTATGTATACGGGAGCCTCGTTGGAAGGTGCGACAAAGTTGAATAACAACTGCTGCGATATAGCTATAAATTGGAGCGGAGGTTTGCATCATGCTAAGAAATTCGAAGCGTCAGGTTTCTGCTACATAAATGACATAGTTATTGCCATTTTGGAATTGCTAAAATATCATGCAAGGGTGCTTTATATAGACATTGATGTGCATCACGGAGATGGAGTACAGGAAGCTTTTTATCTCACGGATCGAGTGATGACCGTGTCGTTTCATAAGTATGGGAACTACTTTTTCCCAGGCACTGGTGATATGTATGAAATTGGAGCAGAGAGTGGTCGGTATTACTCGGTTAACGTGCCCCTAAAAGAAGGCATTGACGATACGTCTTACGTTCAGGTGTTCAAGCCTGTTATATCCCACGTGATGGAATTCTTTCAGCCAACCGCAATAGTTTTACAATGTGGTGCAGATTCACTCGCTAACGACAGACTCGGATGTTTTAGCTTAAGCACAAAAGGTCACGGAGAATGTGTTAAATTTGTAAGAGACTTAAACGTTCCACTGCTGGCCGTGGGAGGTGGTGGATACACACTGCGTAACGTCGCACGATGTTGGACGTATGAAACTTCGCTGTTAGTCGACGAACAGATTAGCAACGAACTACCATATACCGAATATCTAGAATACTTTGCCCCAGACTTCACATTGCATCCCGACGTCGTGACTAGGCAGGATAATGCAAACAGCAAACATTATTTAGAAGCAATTACAAGACACGTGTACGATAATTTAAAAATGATTCAACATTCGCCCAGTGTGCAAATGCAGGATGTACCATGCGACGCTTTACCACCAGAAGAGGATAGGCAGCCAGAACCAGATCCAGACTCCAGGCAGAACCCTCAGGATACGGATAAAGTAGTGGAACCTGCTAACGAATATTATTCCGGTGAAAAGGATCAAGACAAGATGGACACTAGTGAGACGTGATCGCAAAGACTAATCTATAAAAAACAGGCTACTGATATAACTCATTGCATTACGCGTAGACAGTGCTCTTTGCAGCGTAGTAATATGCAATCCTACTTCGTTAACAGCGAGGACGTCCATTAGGCTACAGAAATTGTAAGATAACTAAACCTAGCGTAAGAGAGAAGCAAACGACGAATAAAAGTTTTTGTACGTACCATCCACACATCGATACATCATTTATTCATACTAGTTATTCATATCTGTCCCTTAAATACAGTAGAACGTAATTATAATAATATAGACCTTTGGAACCAACCAACTATATAGATCTTTAACCGACCACAAGAAATGGCTGCCACTTTACGCTTTCGCTAACAGGATGCATGCGTGCATTAATCGCGTTCGACGGCGAACTATCTCTTTCAAAAAAAAAAAAATAATAACGTGACCGACATAAACCAGCCGTTTCCGGCCACAACTATATCGTGGACTTTCGTTAGTTTCTCCTGTTCACTTTTTTCTCTCTCAGAAATCACAGCTTCGCGTGTACACATTAGGCAAGTTTATTACTTCGATCGGCGACACACGACTACGACAGTGAAACAACGACGATGCGGTTTGACGTTAATAGTAGCAATAGTAAAAAGGCAATAACAACAAACGTGTATCTCTGTCTCGGGGCTATTTCGCTATATCACAGAGAACTTAACATATAACGCACGCCTCTCGTATTCATCTCGTGAGCCACAGTAAACAGAATGCATTAGCGAGCCTGTCGGGTCTCTTTCCACCCCACTCATATACCACTAAACACGACTACGGCAATAAATTAGGTATCTTAAATTAAGGCGCTTCGCGTTCTATACAGAGCAATTACTTACGATTTTACAAAAAAGTTCTCGTCGAAAAATAATACAAGTATAAAAATACTCGCGGGGTACGAGGAAACGCAAACGGCCCTCGAGCGTTCGTGCGCGCATAGTAAAGTACTCGGTGTCTCCTCACGCCCGTGTGCACGCACGATCTAGTAAATATATATTTATATATCGTAGAGAAATATGTTCTCGCCCCCATTACATTTTTCATTTTTTTCTCTTTTCTTCGCGAGAGGCGAAAGTAAAAGACCTAAGGGGAGGCGTGTCCTCGGCCTTCCCGGCGAAACATGCTCCGGCGATCGCAAAACATAAGTCGACAAAGCGCGTGTCTGTCTCTCTCTCCTTACTGCCGTCCTAAATGTTCTCTAGGTATTTATCTAGTGTCTTTATAACGTATATCTCTGGGTGTATCATTTGTTCAGTCTCATTGTAAAAGCAATTCCTTCCGTCGCATTGCTCTTCGTGCTCGCGCTACAGCGAGGAGGCCCCTCGACGGAGCCTCGACCTTTCTTTCTCCAACCCGACCGTTCCCGTCTGCGAATCCCTTCGGTATTCGTTTAGTTTAGTGTATGTGTGTGTGCCCGTAACTCATCGACGCCTTCCAGAGTTCAGTTGACTAGATGCCGTTCTCCTCTCCATCTCGCGAGCCAGGAGACCTCACGCGAGTCGAAGCCCCTCCTCTTCATCTCCGCATATTACGTCTCGAAGTGCTTGTAGATGCTCGTCACGTAGGTCATCACCTGCTGCCAATCGGGTCGCTCCAGCTGGCACATGTCTCCGATGTTCTGCGAAGCGCAGAAAAACGAATAATGTTAAGGTGATATCAAAGGGTCATTCTCTATACATACCAAACCATGAAAATAATATTTATAAAACTTTTCTCCAAACAGGGCGCACCGAATAATTTTACACTTCATCACGGTGATTATGGAGGTCCTAACGAAGGTCTTGAAACTCAGGAAATCTCCATTTTTCGAAATTATTTTTTTTCTCAATTTTTATCCGGAGTAACTATATAATTTTTTTACTTTTTACATCTTACCTAAGGTATTGAAGAAATTAAAGAACAAAGAAAAAACTAGTATTAAAGAATACATTAAGGTGATGTGAAAGTGGCGTCAAAGAAGTCTCGTTTATGAAACTTTTCTCCGGGTGTTTCAAAGTTTCATAAACGAGACCTCTGTGTCGCCACTTTCACCTCACCTTAAGCTGATAAATCGTACCCAAGGTTTTCGATTGGACACAAATCTTCAATTGAATCCCTGCCTATCACTTACCAGAGTCGTGGGTATACCGACGCTCTCGGCAGCTGAGAAGGCTATCGAGAAGTTTCTCCTCTTCTCAGTCGGGGATAAGGAGTCGTAGGGTACTTTGTCGGGCAGGTACGAGTGCAGGATGGCGCAGAGGGCTAAGCCGTCGTTCCAGGAACTGCTGAAGTTGGTGATGTCGATGTTCCGGTATCCGATGGTCTTGTTCTGACACCACTTGAGGAGGGCGTTGCGTTTCGAGCCGCCGTTCTTGACGAGGCCGCAGAGCGGATCCTTCCGTTCCGAGAGATCCGTCACGCTGTTGCGTCTCACGAAATCGATGGCCTTCGCATTCAGAGCTGCAGAGTCCAACAGCTCCCCGGGGCTCAAGACGACCGGCACGGACTTCGATTCTGCGTTATCCACGAAGGGAAATAGCGATAACACCTCGTTTTTGTCTATTCTCACGTATGAATAAAAATGACTTAAGAGAAGCGAAGGCGAGTGATAGCAATGATAGCTCGTTAGCGAAGTTGAATGTTAAATATAAGTCGGAGTGTTTTCATCTATTGGTCATTTCTTACGATGACGTTGAATGGGAGAAAGGCGTCGAGTGAAAAGTGAGCAGGGAGCACCAGTAACGACCAAGATATTCAGAATTAAGAATCGTTTTATTAACGCGCAGAAGACAAGCGATGGTCATGCAACGAAGAACCACCTCGCGCTGAAAGAAATTGCAGCAATTGTTACGTGACTAAGCGAGAGAAAGCAAAGCGGAATGAGTTTAAATAATGAAAGCGAGCTTGCGAGAGATTAATCAGTATAGTTCTAGATCAAAGCGTGAGCGAGTGCAGCTTAAATTGTATGGATATGTTACAGAAAGTTAGACAGCCTGTACATCGTTATCTTAATGATCCAATGAATTTACCTGAAAGCACTTTTCGGGCATTCGATGACTGCGTCTTATTGTTGTTCGTTGGATTCGATGGGCAGATCAAGTTATTGATCTGTTGCTGGTCTCTGAGAGGAGTTTTCAGGGACATTATGTCATTCGTTCCAATGGAATTGATGGATGACGTTGAGCTACTGCGACTTCCTGGTCCTTGTTAAGAATAAATAAGAATTAATACTTTCTGATTACCGTGGGAACAGCGCAATCCTTCTGCAAATTACTAAGTTCTTTATTAATGCGTTGAAAATTAAATTAAGTTATGTCTAAAGGTTCGTTCCATTCATTTTCTCTTTGGCAAGGTTTTACTTTGTCCATCGAGAGCTTACTTCTACAATGCCAAAGTTTCTGATACGCACCAGCTTTAGCCTGCTTCGTGGCATTTTCGATGCTCTCTATTAAACATTTGACAGAGAGTCTTGAATCTTGACGAGATATATTAGCTTTTCGACGTGCAGCCATTTCTTGCTGGACACTGGTCAATACGCTGTGCTGAGTCTCCGTAGGAGTGCTAGCTGGTCGTGGAGCCGGCACTACACTTTTTTGATTGGCTAGAAATTCAGAAAAATTCAGTTACTAACGGAAGGACTTTGTTCAACATGTTCAACAGGGAAAATAAAAGCATCACGGATTTGCTGTAATGGTTAATGAAGTGCACAAAACTCCACGGCACACGAGATGCTTAAAGCATCGAATTCAATCAGGGATGGGCCCATAATAATTTAACACGCACTTCTTTGAGGTACGGAAGTATCGATGCACAATTACATGAAAAAGTAATGTACAATAATAATTTGCCATTAATTTCTAGTCATCTAAAAATGTGCCCAGCCTTGATTTCAAGTATAATCCTACCAGTTTGACAGCTCCAACGAAGACTTTTGCAATTTAATTCTCACATTCGCCACCCAGTCTTCGAAAACAATCTCTCAAGGCACGTTTCCTGTCAGTTATTGTACCTTCTTTTTTATCATACTTACACACTCATACCCCGAAAAGCATGTCACATATACAGGATGTACGAAGCGAGCAACACACTAGCTCTTCCCACAGGCAGTAATCCTCGAGGATCTACGCAACAGCTTACAAGGCAGCGCTTTTAAGGGAGGCACGCCAACACTCGAGACTCCTAGTGTATTGTTTAATGTCAAATTACAAACTTGGACGAACTCACAAAAACCCACTAAATAAGCAAGGGACTCTTTCGGGACAATTTGCGACTTACGGTCGCTATTGGAGCCGCTTGCAAGAACAGCTCGATCTCCATGTCGTCCCGATCTGAGCTCCACGTCTTCCAGGATCGTCTCGAATTTCTCTCTTAAAGAAGATGTGCGACCCGACAACGAATTTTGCTCTTCCTCGGGCACGTACCAAGTAGTTACCCTCTTCGAATCTCCAAAAGGTTCGACCTTCCGAAACTTCAAACACGCTTTCTTCTCAGGCATCGTCACATTAATTCCTTCCTTCTGTCTGCTCGTTAAATCTCCACTTTTCCCTAAATCTTTCTCCAATGATTCTGGTTGTTCAGTTGCAGCGTACCATGTTGACTTTGCCCATTCTAAAAATTTCATCCTCTTCGAGCCGATAGTACCTTGATCGATCTTGCTGTCAAACTTTGGTCGGGTTGTTTCCGGACTTTGAACGTTTCTATGATCTTTGTAATTTCCATTGTTAATATTGTCATGGTTAGTTGCAGCATCCTCGAATTTCCTTTGTACCTCTAAAATAGATTTTGGTCGTTGTCTAACATAAGAGTTGCCTTTCGAAGGAGAATCAGTGCCATTTGTTGGCGTACCTGGTGCATTTCCTGTTTTTAATTCATTACATAAGTACACAGATGCGGTATCTACTGCACGAGATGGATACGAATTACGTCTTTGTAAAACATAATCATCACGTTGTTGAGTTTCTTCATAGGACCTTGCTTTATGTGAATGCAAGTCATTTTGCTTTAGATGCGGAGATCTGGCTTCATCTCCGTTGGCATCGTTTTTTACACTAAAAGTCCTTGATTTTGACAGCTGACGTTCCGCTTCTTCTGACCGGATTTTCTTGCGTAGCGTAACGTTGTTTAATTGCTCGCTGGAGAAAAAACTTGAATCACACGAGTTTGGTCTTTTTCCTTTCGATTCACTAGTATTCATCACTGAATTTGAATTTTTCAAAGACCCTTTAACAGTAATACTCTCTATTTCCTTATCTGCAGTATCGATGTCATATATTGAGAAGGTTTCAGAAGCCTTTAAATGTTTAATTGAATCCAATTTGTAAGTGTTTACCGAATTTCGTAATAATCTTTCTTCAGACCTAACTCGATTTTGACTGGTAATAGATCTTAAAGCAAATGAAGAATCCTTTAAAACATGGGTACTTATTTTTTCCTCCCCCGTATCGGCATTATATACGAAGAGTTTCTTAACAGTACTTAGATCTGGAAGTGATCGAGAAAAGTTATTCTTTGACAAACTATTCCTAGTCGAGTCACTGCACATCATATCAATGACTTCGCTGCTAGGTCTGCATTCTTGCTTTTTCAAAAATAATCCACGTTTCTTTGACGCTGTTTCAGCCTGTATATTTTCAGGGCTTAAACTTTTAGATTCTTCTTCATTTCCTATTATTGGCAGCGACAGAGGTTCCCAAGATTTGGAATCATCTGCAACAGTATCATCCACAGAAAGCTTTGTTTGGCTTTCTACTCCGATCGCTCCAACCTTCTTTTCCTGTTTTACGCTCTCAGAAATGCTTTCGTCGATTGCATAGGCTGATTCGCTGGCTAAATTTAACAAAACCTGAGGAGAGGCACTCGTCACGCTCTCTCTAAACACTTTGGCCATATCAGGATTAATTTGAAACTTAAGATCGTTCATCAAAGAGGAAAGTTTAGGACGTATATAACTCTTCGGAACGAAAAATTGACTGTTCGAGATATTTATACCATAGGCATTGTCATCGATACTGTGAATGGCTTTAATATCCTTAAACGTCGGATTTTCGAACGGCTCGCTTTTCTTCTCAGTTGGTTCCACAGGAATATACAGCTTTGGATAGTCCTCCTTGAATCTCTTTAAAGTCTCAGGCTTCGAACATCGCAGTTCCTCCCTACTTCCCAAAAAGTCTGTTTCTGACAAGCTAAAATCTTTTGTAAGCCTCTGTTTCAAAATGTCAGAACCTTCATTCCGAGTCATTTTGATCACTTTATCCTCGATGCGCATTGCACTGGTTATCACATCGGAATTAGAATTTTCTTCTGGCACGTTCTTTGACCGATGAAAGTCTTCTGACAGCTCGATGTGACCCTCGACTTCCGGTGCCTCCTTACCCGCACTTGTATCCAGATTTTCATCGGAGTCAGACAAGCTCGAATCAGACCTGTCCAGTGCGGTGCACTCGGAGTCCTTTGTCTCAACAGTGTCGTCATCTTCCTTGTAGAGGATGGCATTGTTCTTAATGTCACAGGTTGAAGTGGGTGTCCGAGGTTCTGCTCGCTTCTTTATAATAGTACGTCCACGTTTTAAAATAACACTGGAAGGCTTTCGATCGAACCCACTTTGCATGTCACACGTACCACGCTCGCGCAATACTGCATTCTCTGATGCGTCGGTCGGAGGAACAAAAAAAATATGACAACATTATATTACAATCATCATTCGACGTAAGATCGATGGGAAAATGTTAGCATCTTTTCTTTTTTCCCCGTCCTGGAGGTGGTCCGAGAGCTTTCATAATAGACTTCGTCGCTAGGACGACTACATAAGCCGTGCAGACATTGCGCCACGTGATTTCCGCAACACTCGACCGTTTTTCCTTCTATCCGAATTTCTTTTCCCGTACGTTCGCAATTTAAGCACGGCGTTCACAATGTCGCAACGCAGACGCGACCGTAAATATTAATCTGTCTACGTTGTCAAATTATCAGCCCGAAACTATTCTACAGAATCAGTCACAATTTCTACCGAACATCGAATCCCCATATAAATGAAATTTAACTGTGGTAAGGTGTAAGAGTGCAATAGAAAAAGAGAGAAGGAACACCCGGAAATTAATTATCCCTAAGTGGATGTTTAACATCGTGAACATAGCGACTCACCCTTATTAAGCTTGTCAAGTTGGGCTTCGAGAGCTCTCAGTTTGTCCCTCTGTGCTTTGTTCTCCATGACGACTCGTTCCAACTCACTCTGGGCTTCGGTCTTGAAATCATTCGCCACTCGAACTGTCATTAAGAGGTCGGTCTGGAATTGTTCCCATTCGGCACTTTCTTCTTGATGTAGCTTCCTCTCCTCCGAAAGGGCTCTCTCCAGCTCGAACTGGTGAGCTTGCGCGTCCCTTTCTCGTCGCTGAGCTTCACTCAGAGCAGCTTTCAACTCTCGTTTATCCTCCAAATGTCGCTGACATTGGGACTGCAATTCCGCCAACGAGTCGCGTACTAACTGTAGTTCAGCGTTTAAAGAGATTCGCTCATCCTTCAACTGGTTAAGCCGATACTCCAAGTCATCGATGGCAGATTTAGCATTGTTGCGAGCGACCTGAATCGTTATTATATATTATAAAATAAGAAGAAAGAGAAAGAAAAGAATGAATGTTCTTGATAAGACGTTACCTTGAATTCTTCTTGAAGCTGAGAGAACTGATCTCGAAGTCTGTCATGATCACAATGTGACCGAGCTAATTGTTCCTGGAGCGCAGCAGCCTGAGTCTCGAGAGTGTCCTTTTCTCGCCTCGCAGCATCCAAGAGCTCATCAGCTTCTGTCTTGCTCTCGAGTTGTCTGGACTGTTCCAACTCTTCGATTTTTGCTCGTGCATTTTCCAACAGAGTTGCTAGCCTACTTATCTCGATGCTACGAGTTGCCCCTTCCTGACGTGCTTCAATCAGCTCCAAGTCGAGTTGCTTTCTTTCAGTATTCGCAGCATCTACCGTAGATTCCAGGAGATGAACTCGCTTGGTCAAGCGCTCTGTTTCGGTGGCACTGGCATCTGCCGTTGCTCTCAAACTCTTTAACTCGGATGTTAATTCCTCTTGCTTTTGGAGTAAAGCTTCCCTCTCCTCTTGTGCACTCTAGAAATATTTTGTTGTAGCTTGCTGAAAGGTGACATGCTTAGCAGGACGTTATAATCTACTCACCTTGAGTAAATCTACTAATTTCTGTTCCCTTTCGGTGTTATAACCTTTGGATGCTTCTTGCGGTTGTTCCTCTCGAAGAAGTAGTCCCTGCAGGGTATCGACCTTCGATCGAGAGTCTTCCAACTTTTCGGTTTGTCTGCATAACGACTCCAGCAAAACTCCCTTCTCCTCGGTCAATCTTTCATTATCGGCTTGCAACTCCGTCAATTGCGCCTAGGCAAGAAAAAATGAATTGAATAAAAGAACATCAACGAGGAAAACCATTTTCAAATAGATGAGTCACCTGCAAGTCACTGAGTTCCTGAATAGTTGCCTGCAATTCCTCGTTAGTCGAATAGTGCGTTTCCTCCATCTGCAGGATCCTATCTTGAAGGCACGCAACCGAGACTTCCGAAATGGAACTCGAGGAATGTTTATCCCATTCCGGGGTAGTACACTGGATGTCATCCTGTGCCATGTTCGAATTGGCGAGCAAACCATCATCCTGAGGTACGGCGATGGAAGCAGGAGCGGAATTATGTAACCTCGAGGCATCAAGGAGTAACTGCTGCTTCTCCGAATCCGACAACGGGGAATGGGCGACATCTCGAAGGCGAGCTCGCAGAGCCTCGTTCTCTTCCGCAAGCCGCTCCAGTTCCGCTGCGTGTTGTTCCTGCGATACAAACAAACCCACTATTATCGATTACCCTCAATCCTGTCTCCGTCAATGCACTCCATGCTTCTTCAAAAGAACAAAAAAACCTATTGCAGCACCTTCCACGAACCGATTCATTTCACGTCTTGATACCAAACCAACATCTCAGTAACACCCATGAAAACCAAGCAATAGCCACGCATCCCACATCTCTCTAAAACTTCTTAACCTTTAAAAACTCTCTAATTACTTCCATTCCTTAGGAATTTGAAAACGTAGATTCTCTCCCTCGGCGCCTACGAGCTGCCTCTCTGTCGAAACGACATTGCGCACAAGTAATCGCGTAATTCCCGCCGCCCTGAGGGACCTCGCTCGGACGTAACGTCCACCGAGGACGATCCTCCTCCAATTACTGGGATTGCGCAATACCGATATCCAATAGGTAGGAGAGCCCGCTCCAATGACACGAGAAGCTTTAACACCGCACCATTCAAGGCGAGACCTGGCGAGACCCGGCGAGACCCGGCACGACCTGGGGCAACCCGGGTAACTGTCACGCGCTGGAGGTTAGGTCCGAGCTGGGAGAGCGTCCTCTGGCGTTCCGGCGTTCCGGCGTTCCGGGGGTCTACGGCGATTCCCCCACGAGGAGGTTCGGTCTCGGTCTTCCTATTTCCGCGGTCCCGAGCGCGGCGACGAGCGACGCCGTCGCGTCGGTTACATAGGGTTACGTAACGGTAAGGACTTAATGAATAACGAGCCTAAGTTACCGTGCCCGAGCCGATGCACCGTTTCTTCATGTCGTCCCTCTCGCGCCCTCTCCGTCGCTCTGCCGCTTCCGCCTCTCGGTCCGTCTCCCTCCCGCTGGCTCTCTCTCGCTCCCTCTTTCCCGCGCGCGTTCGCTCCCTCCCTCTCGCGGTCACGGGAGCAGCCTCCTCTCTTCGCTGGTAAACATTCCTCGATGAGTATCGACCGATATCGACGCGCCTTCGATTCGGTCCGTGAGCGCGCGATTAACGAAGAGACCCGCCAGCTTGGGAAGCCCTGCGACGCCCTGCGTCGGTTAAATGCCAACGAGCGTAGAAAAATGCCGACCAACGTCGAAAAATACCGCGAAAACCGCCACTGCGCCCAACGGCGATAGTCCAACCGGCAGCCCGGTACAGGGGGCGCTGCAGATCCAGGGGAAAGGGGAAACACGCCGGCCGATCGCGGCTAAAATGCTAACGAGTCCCTGGAAATTATCCAATTCCCCGTTAGAAATAGAGAGGAAAATGTCAGATCTCGAAACCTTATGATGCCGGTTAAATTAAATAAATCGCACGTGTCGTCTTACCGCCAGGGAGAGTGGCAAAAGGATCCGGAAAGAGGGGTAGATTAACCCCCCGATCTGCAGCCCACGCGGCGTAACGACGCCGATCCGCCATTTTGAAAACCCCTGAACACCGATTGGGTATTTCCGTCAGAGCCGCCGCTTTTGATCGGTAACGGTCATACGACAGTTTACTCGAACCCCGGGATTTTCGACATGGCGAACCCCTCACTTCGTGTGTTAAAAGGGCGATCGTGAATTTCGGGGGAGTTTTTTTTAATCCTCTCGAGGAATTTTAAAGTTAATCTCGTATACAGGTGAAAATTTATCGACCTCGATGCCTAGTGCAAGCAAGTCGGAGCTCTGGCGGAGGAGAAAGCCGCAAGTTTTCCGGCCATTAACATCGAATTATTCTCGCGCCGATTGAAATCCACGGCGGGAAACGTTCGGCGAAGGAGGAGTTACTCGAAGGGAGAGCCAATAAAACAGGATCCGATTACGAAGTACGCGGGTGAACGGCGCGGCGAAAACCGCCTCGCTCGGCGTCGCGTGAAATGCCAAGGCGTCGATGATCTATGTCAGAGAGAAACTCTGTGTGTCAAATAAACATTTAAACACACGACGCATGCAATCCTTTGGAGACCCGCCATTTTCTAGGTCTACTCGACCCCACGTGGCACAGGGGACGATTAAAGGACGCAAGGGCGATAAATTTTCAGAAAAAAGGATCAGTTTACGAGTGGGTCGTTAATTTCATTAATCGAGACTGGTGATTGAAGCCGTGTCCGATGAAAGGACTCGCCGGCACTCGATCGGTATTCGTGGAGCCTCGTCATAAGCTACACATCGTACGCGCTCGTTCAGGCGGACGCAACCTCTAACGCGAGTAAGTATGTTTACCTTGTAAGGTCGGGGTTGGGTGGGTGGTCGGGGCGTGGCGAGGGGATGCTGGAAAGGGAAGTCAGCGATTCCCCTAGAGCGCTCGAGCGGAAGGCTCACCGACCAATCGGAAAGGACCTTTGACGTTGAAAAGTATTTGGTCGAATGAATAAAATTCAACCACGGAATATGATTATATGGACAACCACCTATATTTGGTTGACACGACTAAATTCATTGGTTTATAATAACTACATCTTCCTTTGCCACGTCAAATATGAAAGCAATGTGCGAACTATTATTTTTAGTTACGCAGGATAATGAAAAGAGTTGAACTACGAGAAACGGGTGCAAGTGGTAGGGTTCCCTCTCGACTGTGAAGCTTCACCCCTTACCGCATTCCCTTCCAACAGGTGGTTCCCTCAATTACCTTGAGCGCGGCGAGTTCGGCGCGTAGTTCCCGGATGCGTTGGGAGTCGCAGGCCGCGTCCCGGAGGTCAGCCTCGAGCCTGGCCCGTTCCTTTCGCAAGATCTCGAGCTCCCGCTCGAGCTCCTGCATCCTGGCCGAGGTCTTGGCCGCGGACTTGGCCGCAGGTAGATTGGAGGCCCTCGAGGACGGCTCCTTGGGAGGAGCGGCTCCCCAGGTGGCAGCGGAACATCCAGTCTCGTGGGTGCCCTCGAGCGACGAGGCGCTCGAGGCCTGGCGCAAAGGTACGGGGACCTGTTGCTGGTGCGAGTGCTGGCCCTGCTGCTGCTGGGACGAGTGGCTGTGCTGTCCTCTGCGAAAGAGCGATTTGAACTTCATCATGGTCACTTGGCCGAGCTCTGGACGGTTCCCTTGGCGAATTCGACGAGCCAGCGCATGCTTCCCCGAGGTCTCTCGAGGCCCCTCTCCCCCTAGGAGTCTATCTCGGCCAACCGAGCTCGGATTACCGCCAGGAGGTCTTATCGGGCCAGTCCCCCGATAACTCGCGACTCCTCGGGGACGATAACGTCCCAGAATCGACTTTCCCGCCGCGAATGCCTCTGCGCGCACTCCATCGTCCCGGGCGACGCCGCCTTGGTCTTCGATTCAACGATATTTCCTATTTCGCCTCAGGTTTCCCCTCGTATTTCGGAACCGAGAGCCGAGGTTAGACCTCGATCGCCGCGGTGAAAGCGATCGCGCTGGACGTGTCGGTTGGCGACCGCATCCTTGGGCCCGCGACGACCGGCAACCTCGGTTGAGCGATGAGGATACGGCTCTGTAATCTTATCTCGTGCTTTCAGGGTCCAGGATCCTTCGTCGGGAAGGTTCGAGCAAGCGGGTGCAGCGGGCGGAGTCCTAGGAGATCACGGATGTCGGGATGCGTTAATATCCCGTGAGTACTCTCCCAAGTCCAACCACGTTGTCTAGGTACCACGGTTTCAGGGCAAACGGATACGGGCGGCGTCTGATTGATAAAAAAGTCCACGAGTCCGCGATAGTGGCCTCCAAGGACACCACGGTCTGACCAAGCCGACCGAACTGAAGAAACTGGCCGAATCTGCAGAACTGGCTACCGCACCGAGTCCGAGCGGGCTCTTCCCGGTAGGCAACCGGCAAAAAAGAAACACAACACTGAACGACGTTCCGCTCGAGGGTTCGGAGCGCTCTAAAATCCCGAAAATCTCCAGCCTTCCAGCCAACGCGGCGATAGCAACGACGCCGGATCCGTCACCAAGGTGCCTCCGGCGTGTCACCTAAATTTAGAGCGCCGAAGAGTCAGCTGTGCAAACCCGCTGCTGCACCTAACAGGTCGACAAAGTAATATCGCCTCTCGAAGGTGAGTAGCGCCAGGAAGAGGACGCTCACTACGAGATCACGGGTCCGAGGAGGTCCTCGATAATCCCACAGATCTGTTAGAAAGGCGTCTCATGTCAGCGTTTCTCCGAAATCCAGGCTACCAGGCTTGGCGACGTCATCGAAGTCGGCTTTGGCAGCGGCCTCCTAAGCGACGAGCAGCGCTGGACAAAGCAGCGGCACCGAACGGTACTCCAGGGGGACATTCCCGGTGCTCCAGGACCCTGGGCCCGCGGCCATTAGCGGGGGCCTAGCGAATTGCGACGGACAGTCAGCCGTTACCAAGAAACACTTCCAGAAAGAGATCGGTCTCGAAACCGCCCTGGCCGCTCTCACTTCAGGACGTCTCTTCGAGTCCTCTTAGTCTTAAGCGCGCTTCCGGGTGCAGCCTCCTAGGGCTCCGTCCGCTGCCTCACGGCTCTCGATGACGACTTCCAGAGGTTCCGGTCAGGCAGATAGCGCGCTACTCGCTCGAGCGCGCCCGTTGCCCCGGTCGGTCTACCACTTGTTGCACCGGAGAGTCCGCCATGGGCGCATCGAGGTCCCCTCGGGAGTCCTCTCTTTCACCGGGCGACTCGGCCCGACTTGGCCGCATTTTGTGGACGGACGGATAAGGCCCAGCTTCCTTGAGTCGGCCTGAGACCCGGAGACTCCCCGAGGGAGCCGGATCCCCCGGGACGACGACTCGTCTCCGCTCTCAAAAGGGCCCTGACGACCCCGGGTTCCGGCCGGGGCACGAGCGGTCCAGCCGGTCCATCGCGCGCTGTTCGCTCGAGGTGCGCGGGGGTAGGGGTCGTTCGAGGTCGCGGAACGACCTCGAGGATCGAAGACCGGTTTGCGGGGAGGGTAGCGAGGCGCGCCCGGCGACGGTGCATCGAGCACTGTCGGGCACCGTCGCGCTCGGACGGGGATTCGGTGCCCGGGCCCGATCCCGAGGTCCCCCACCATTGTCAGGACGGCGAGGGACGGAGGCGCGGGTCCGGGCCCCGAGCGACCAGCACTGCTTCGGCTCCGCTCTTGTGCCAAGGAGGCTCGCTCATGTACACGGTGCACCGAGAGTGCTTGACTCGCTTTAAGAAACGATTCATTTTTTTTTTTTTATAGAGTAATGGATGTTGCCGAGCATTGTCAAGCACTGTCGAGCACTCTCGAGTTTCGATCAGAATTTCGAAGTCCGATGCCACGACTTGACAAATATGTAAAGCGGTCGGAACGGAGGTGCGGGTTTGGGACCCGATCACCCGACACTGACCCAACTCCTCTCTTGTCCTACCGAGGAGACCCGATGTACAGGGTGTTTCAAGGTTTCCAGGCGTCCCTCCGTCCCAGAAAGCCTCCCGTTTCAAGGTGTTATGAAAGGGTCATTCTATATATATAAAAACGTCAGAGTATTTATAAAACCTGTCTCCAAATCGTGTGCACCGAATCATTGAAACCTCAACACATGATCGTGGAGACTAAAGGAAAAACGCGATGCTTATGAAATTTCATTTTGTTTATTTGCCCCAGACTAGAACCAAGGACACATCTTCATTAAAAAAAAGATATATATGTATATGTATAATGATTCTTTCGTAACACCTTGAGAAAATAGTCTGTAGGATCTGATAACGTAACGTCGCCTAGTATATATGCTAGGATTTCTCAAAATGCCCGATGCGCTATCGAGGCACGTAGCTCGATAAATAGGTTTTTGCACATATCTGCTGCTCATACGTGCGCACTTTTTGCGCATACCGGATATGCGATGCACACCGAGTGCATATTGATGCGGTAAGAGCGGAGGAGCGCGTAGAAGTCTCGCGCTCGTTTGTCATAGACAGGGTTCTTCTATTTTATTATTTCTTCTTTATTTCGGAGCCCTTTGGTACCTCGTGGGGATCCATGGTACCCATGTTACCCCATAGCATGGTGCGGTGCCCTGCAGTAGCATATCCGGCCCTGCGCCTCTTTTTAAGTTTTAACGAAAGGGAGCTACCCCTGCGCGGCGTCCAAGGGTGTTTTCAGCATCATCGGCTCTGCAAAAGGCGGCCCAGGAAAAAAGCCCGACCGGCAGAAACGCGTCGACTCGATGAGAAAAAAGTCGAGTACAGTAAAACGCATTGTCGGTATTGTTACAACAGGTCACAATGGCCCTGCCGATGTATTAACACGTGCGAGCGAGGCGTTTCATCCCTGCGGAATAACGAGGTGTTATTACCATAAAGCGTTGCGCGGTGAACATTGTTAAACGATTTCCCAGACTCGGGAATGATGTCGCATTCCTTGTCAAGGGACTTCATCATCGTTATGAATGTTTGCATATACACGTTACTTGATTTTAAAGATGAAATACATGTAAGATTTGATAACTTGACTTTTGATACGCATACACTCAGAATATAATTGATTGTACCAAAGAAATATTTCTTTTAGTAGTTAGAATGAAATATATATATTTCAACTTTTAAATCAAGTTATCGAATCTTGGAAGAATTAATGTCCGGGTCTAGAAGCGATTAAAGGCCCGCGGCAATGGCCATCGTTGATTCGATGCAGGAGTCGAAGGAAAGCGCTGTGAGAAAGTTTCCCTGGCCGCTTACTTCGTTAATTTATGGTAAGTTTCATCGAGCCAGGCCGAAGGTCCGTTAAATAACGCGATGTAACCCAGTAAGTTTGCTAATTTCCCGGCGTCGCGTGAGAACGACTCGGTCGAGGGCCGGCACAAAGCTGCCGTAAGAAGAGAGTTACTTAAAAGTAAGCTGCGGACTCGGATCGGACGGGATCGGATCGGATTGGATCGGCTGCCGGGAGGGGCAAAGGCGGCCTAAGGAGGCCACGGAATCCGCGGACGTCTCTTCGGCTTCGTCGACCAGTTTTCTCATACGGTCGACATATGGCGTATACAGAGTGTTGAAAAGATTTTCGACCTGCCCCGAGATCTCCTCGGGCCCTTCCATGGTCTACATCGAAAGAAAATGTCCATTGAGCCGGATAAATAATCCATTGAATGGTAGCAAAGAAATATTTTGTCAATCCCAAGAAGAATGATTTAACTCAAATGAAATCCAATTAATTAGATGCGACGTTTCGTCGGAATCGTGACGAGTTATTTGAGCCAAATAATTATTCTTTGATATTAAAATATATTTGGTACTATTCATACGAAAATATTTCTTTGGTACAATGAATGGTGTTTTTTTTTCTCAGCGTAGATGCTGCGCTTTGAGTCACCGTGATATTAATTAATATGTAGTTAACATTAATGCGTATTGGAGAGATCTCGATGAGATATTTGTTAACCCTTTGATCGTTACACCTTTTTGACGTATGGGCGAAATTCGTCCCCACGTGCAGGCAACAGTGGACCAAATGTTGAAAGTATATGTACGCCTTTCGCAGCCGAATGGTTAATTTCAATTTCAAATTAGTATCTTGAAATATTCTTTTAGTCTTGAATGGTTTATGTTTGGCACGACTGTCAGCCAGACTCGTGGGCTGAAAGGCGATCGTACCGTACCGTAGGCACATTTAGCACTCGTTAATGTGTATTTGTAAGAAGGAGCCGCCTATAGACCTTCGTTTTCGGTTGACGGTGCAGAAATGCGATAGTCGATGTTGACGTTAAATCCCGTTACGAGAATCCTCGGGTGCATCGAGTAAATCGAGTATAAATCCACCGTCGTGCGTTTCCACAGTCGAGCGGCGAGCGGAAGTCTGCGATTCTTTTCTTAAAAAATGTATGTTTCCGGAAGTCGCAATAATGCTATGACTTTGGCCGGCATATTGCCGGAAGCAATCCCACTTGGCAATTATCAAGCTTTGTCAACAGTCCTCGAAAGTTACTCTCTTCTCCGCGTTTTTTACCGTTCCGCATGTTGCAATTACTTCGACGTTATCGCACATTAAAAAAAATTCGTTGTTGTCGTTGTTTCGGATTACTAAGAATTAATTTTTCAAGTATATCAAGGATTCTTGCTTTCAAATCCTCCACACTTTGCCATTCAAGTTTATCAAGGATTCTCGGTTTCAGATTACTCAGAATTGACATTTCAAGTTTATCAAGGATTCTCGGTTTCAGAGTCGAATCTTGGGAGGGCGAGGGCCCTTATCGCCTATCGTCGTTCCCGAGGAGGCGATAGGACGCGATATATGACATCGCGTTATCTACAAACGCAACGACGGATAACGGGCGTCGACGCGGTCGCCGCCGAATGCAGCGACCGATGAATCAACTTTGAAAGACCGAACACCGAGCAACGAAGTAGCCAAAATGAGAGAAGGTAATTGGAGCACTTAGTCATAACCGATGTTAAAACAACCTCGCGATATTGGAGCGTTAACTCGGACATTTGACATTTTTCTCGATGACGCAACCGCCCTCGTCCTCTCTCGTGCTTTTTCTCTTCCAGGCCCGACAGTCCCTTCTTTATCCTCCTCCGGGTCCCGAAGGAGAGTCAATTGGATATCTGGACGTCGATTGCCGTCTGGCCTCTTTCGAGACTTCGCTCCTAAGAGACGCTCAAAGTCAATCGAGCCCTCGCCTTTATTCGCCATTGCGAGCAGACGATGACATTGTGGATGGACGTAATCACTGCGGCGACAGCGCCGGAATTGGGTGACAGAAGTGTCGACGACGTCGAGGACCACGGTGATATAATCAGGAATGGCGTTTCTTAATTCTTTTCAAATGTAGGCCTTCGATTTGGCCCCACGAGAAATACGTAAGGACGATTTCGATATCACCGGGTATGCAGATCGTCCTTACCGGAGGTTCATCTCATGCGCTTCCAGCGACTCGGTCATCTCGTTCGGTTGATTCTTCGAATGACTTCGAACCGCCGTCAGCTGTTCGAAATTGTTCGAAATGGTTGCTAAAATGTTTTGCCGAGTTGGGTATATCATTGTGACTCTTCACAGGGGACATCTTTAGCGCCACCGAGTATGTAGGTCGTCCTTACTGGCCGAGTCATTCCGCTCGCTTCCACTGGGTCGGCGGTCTCGTGTGGTTGACTCTCCGGACCGTAAGAAGCAGCGAGCTGCAGTCTGGCCGAAGCAAGAAGCAGCAAGCAGAGTCACGGTCCGAGGGCCGAGGATTGCCAATGATCGTCCGGGACGGAAGGAACGGTTCCTAGCGTTCCAGCGATCCTCGATTACGCCGTACAACTAGGCTACCGGTCGGCGATATCGATTGAAACCTGACAAGAATAGCTAGCAATAGTCGGTCGGACCCTGTGAAAAAATTGTCATAAGTCGGTTGATCCCTAGCGAGGCAAGAGACGAGGGACGATGGTTCCTCAATGGGAACCACTCGACTCTTTCAAGCTATATCTATTGTCGATTCAATCCGCTCCTTTTTTACAGGGACTCTCTCTGCTGGTCCCTCGTTCTTGGACTCGGATCGCGCGATTCGGATGAAGGAATCGCAGCAACGAGAGTTCAAGGTAGGCGGCGAGGGGGGAACATACCCCGGGTGGAGGAGTCGAGGTAGCCGAAGAGGCGAGAACCAGTTCGAGAGACATTGACAGCGCAAGGATGCGGCCCCTACGAGTGCAGCGGGCTGAGCCCCTCCGTCACGCATCCTTCGTCGGGCCCAGGAATCCCAATGATCACGTTTAACCTCACGTTCACCTAGCAAGGACGTAATCCTTTCTCCAAAAGTTAATTTTTGCGAGCGAAGACACGAGATAATGACACGTCACCTAATATCCTAATTTCAGGGACGCGCAATGCCGGAAAGCGAAGAGCTCCCTGCCATCCCCAGTGACCTGGTGGCGTGATAATCAATCCCTACTCTTCTTAGCCCAGTTCAGAGAGGAGGAGAGGTGGCGAGGAGAGTCTCCGGTACACCGAGTACCTTTTACGACACGCAATAAGTGGGAGTGGAAGCGAGCCGAGATCACTGACCCGGTGCGTAAGAGGAGAACGAAGCTGAACGGGACCGAACCGGGCGAAACTGCGCACCCACGGAGCAGGTGCACTTTCCCGCAGGAAGGAGTCTAATCCAGGAAGTCCTGGGGACGGGGAGGACGTCGATGGTCGAGAGGCGCGCAATAAAGGAAATTATTAGCGACTCACCCACGTTCCGACCGGGGACCGATGCGTGCCACGTGCTCGGCCAAGGTGATGTTTCCGTTCGGCGGCCTTCTAGGCCCGAAGAAGAACGAAACCGGGTTTCTTCGGCGAGTCGCTGCTACGGCGGGCCTGGGACCAGGATTCAAGCTGAAAAAGTCAATCTTTATTAGGGCAATAATTCTAGAAAGCTCATTTTTAAAAGCACGAGATTTTCCATGTTTTTTTTTTTTTTATTTAAGACTTAGCGAGTATGTAAGAGAGGGGCTGACGGGTTTTGGTATGTAGAAATTCGATTTTTCATTAAGTTTCATTCAACTTTTCAGGAGCGTTCTCAAAATGGCTCGGTTTCCGCAGGTCCCTGTCCGCCGACCGTCGGTCGTTGCCCTCGCGACGTATTTAGCGAACAGAGTGGTGTCTGTCCGTTTCACCGGCGGCCACCTCCGGCGATTTTCGAGGTCTATTAAAGTGCCACTTCAGCGGGATTGCGCCAATTCGCTAATTGTACACCGTGTCGGGTACGTAGCCGATACTCGAGATAAAAAGGTAATGGGTTCGCAGCTATTGAGGAAAGAAAAGGAAACGGTAAAAGGACCGAAAACAAAGGAGACACCCGGGATTTGAACCGGGGACCTCGCTCTGTAGTCGAATGCTCTACCATTCAGCTGTACCCCTAGTGTGTGGCACCAACCTAGATATAAGTCAACTGTGATAATCTAACTGATAATACCGGTAATTAACTCGAACAATCGATCGTTTTTTTTTTTGGTTAATAACAATACAAGAAGGTCTCTCGTTAGGTTATGTCTATGACGGAGTCGATTTTTCCGGCTTCCTTGCTTTCACTTCACGAAAATCGACTGAAGAATGGGACAGACACTGCCATCGCGCGGACGAACTAGCTAACCTCTATCAGATTATATCTACCGTCGGTAACGCAGAACTCTACTCCATGCTATCTAAAAACAGGGAAAAAGCGTTGCGAAATTAATTCTTTCCCGTCGAACTTACCGAGTTCTTCGAGCATTATCGATCTGGGATATCGCCGTATTGGAATCAATGCGAACGTCGTCATCGGTCGTACACGGTGGCCGTTTAAACCGAGCACTTTCCTCCTGCCCCGGCTGCGGTCCGCTGCCAGCCTGAAAAAAAAGACATGGCCCATGAAAAAGGAAATTAACAACCCACCGGTTGCGATTAAGCACCGGCGGACGTTCTAATAAACCTATACACGTATATCAAGCATCCGCCATTACCGAGTGTCCTCCAAAGACCTGAAGAAGTTGTCGCAGCATTTTCGCGGCCCGATTAAACCACCTTTAAACGTCAAACAAGAATCTGCAGACTTCGCACCCTCCACTAAATTAATGTTATTTAACATTTGCAATCATCAAGCACTAAATCGATCATTTAACCAGCCACTTAATCACTGAAATCGGAGCGTAACGGTAGAAGACGCGAGTTTAGGGTCCACTTTCCAGGAGCGTCGATTTTCCAGAGGTTTTCCCATGACTCTCCCCCCTCATATCCTGGCACAACTCGTCCGAAAATCGTGAATAACTTTATTGGAAACGCGATCGCGACTCTCGTTACCAACTCCGCTAAAATGAGGAGCAAAAGAGAGGCGCAGCCCGCGATCTGAGCCAGGTATTAGAACGCGATCGCGATAAGAGCTCGCCACCAGTGATAAAGAGGACTCCCGGCCAAGGCGTGTCCGTACATTACGCACAAAAAGGTGTACACATCGACGCCCTCCTCTGCTCTCCTGCTAACTGGTTCCCAGCATAAGCGCGATGCAAAGTCCCTAGTAGCACAAAATATTGTCTCATATTTGCGATACCAAATTAAGTGCTCGACAATAATCGTAAAATAAAAGATGTATTTCTATTATATGTTCATAAATGAACGAACATATCATTGAGGTTTTCAACAAATATTTTAGATATCGTCAAATGAAATCTACGAAGCATCTTTAAAAAACCTGTCGCTTGAATATATGTAGCAAAGATTAGAACAAAAAAAAATATTTAGAAATTATTATATGCTATTAGGGGTGGAATATGAACACTTATTACGACGTCTCGCGCCATGGCCGCCGCCATTTTTTACGGGCCATCCCTCCTCAGGTAATCGGGAATTAAACGGCCATTCCGCAGTGGATTTATCGGGTCAAATTTCAATGATCCCGAGGTATTGGGCCCGGTGAATGGAGGAACGGGGAAGGGGGGAGAAAAAAATATTGCCAGGAAAAACGGGAGAAAAAGGAAGGGAAGACCCGAGCCCCGCGATGGTCGTCGTTGCCAGGCGGACTCGCCAGGAGAAAAAGCGCGGAAGTGACGAGGCACCGTTGGGAAACGTCATGTGGCAGGCCTGCCGGCGGGATTTTGACCCTTTCTACGCTTTCTACGTTTCTAACGTTTTCTGCGTTTGCCCCGACCCACGCGAGAGCGTAAGCTATGCATTGCATCTGGCAGCACTCGGCCCACTCGGCGACTCGCGGCTCGCTTAACCCGAACACCTTTTATCCTACAAGACCGATAGCCGGCTCGAGCTGGAAATTAAACATTTCCCATCTAATTTAATATTAATATTCTCACGTTCCGTTCGTCAGATAAACACCGCGAGGAATCAACGATTTATCCCCCGCCGCGTTATAAGCACCGAGAAAAAGAAATTCATTGAACCGAAGAAACATGTTGTTAATTCTAAGAATAATTGTTTTACTCAAAGAAACAGTCATAATTCCAAAGAAATGTTGCATCCAATTTACTTGAGTTTGAGTGAAATAATTATTCCTTCAATTGATGAAATATTCCTTTGGTTCAATGAGATCCTTTTCTCAGGGTAATACGGAATTTTATAACTTTTGGTATCATAAATTTATAAATTTGTAGATTTATGTAGAAACCCAATATTGTTGTTCCCAACGTCAGAAACTCGTAGAATTTTACTACCTAATGTTGTCAGATTATAAACTCGAAAGTAAAAGTGTATGTTTTTAATGTTTCCCGTGGGAATAACAATGGATTTTAATGGTGCATATCAGTGCAGTCAAAAGATTCAATTTTTATGTGACTTCTGAACTTACGGTTCGGCTACAAAGGTGGATCATCGGCGCGCTCACTCGACACGTGGGTTGCGCAAGGCGAGCGCGGCGACGCCCGTGACGTACCGACGCCCGGCGTCGGTGGCTGTGTCTTGCATCTTGAGGAAGCCGCGAGGACCGCAGGATGCGCGACTCGCAGAACCCGCGAAAACCGCGAGGGGCTTTGCGAGGCCGATTCGGAAGTTAACCGCCGACTGTGGCCGCCGCTCATATTCATTCCGCAAGTCTCCGCGGCCCCGTTCCACTCCTCTCCATTCCGTTCCATTTGGTCGCAAACGACTTAACCTCTCACCGGCACCTCGCGGCGTTCTCGGGCTGCCGAATGGTCCAAACTCGCGCGCCCGGTTCCCCGAATTTGACCTTTACGGTACTTCCAGTTTCCCCTATCTACCCCCGTAAGCGGCGCGCCAAGCGCGGCGAGGGACCGGTCATCGCCAATGATCCGCGATTATCATGACACCTGAGCACGAAATCGAAAAATGCTTCTTACAAAAGTTGACCGTTCTAGTCCATGGAATAACTTTCATTGGAAGCGTTTTCTCGTATTATATACCCCTCGACTCGAAAATGGCGTCCAATCGGTGCTCCTCAGGACTCACGGTACCTCGCCCGAGACACCTGTTAATCCGCTTGCATAAACGCGGCCCTGTACCACCCTTCTTCCACGTCGATAATCTCTCTTCCTCCGCCAAGATACTCATCGACCATTAAGAGAAACGGCAAGGGCGATGAAAAACTCGGCGTAAAACCAGCAGAGGGACTAATCGCTCGCCCACGCGAGTCTAGATCCCATCGCGGCCTTGGCCCCTCCAAAGTGGGTGACCTTCCGCTCCAATTTAATCTAGTTTAACTCGCACCTACCCAGCCCGACCTGGCTGTGCGCTAACGATGTTTACACCAGACCCCGTTAGGTAATAGGCGAACCCCCCTGCGAACTGACCGCGTGGGCACTATTAATAAAAAACATCGCAAAAATTTTCCACGTAGAAATCGCAAGATTCGCGAAACTCTCTAAATTCACTTTGTTAACGCGATTTATAAGGTTTCAACCAATTAGGGGAGTTAAACGATTGACCCGATTCCGAGGAATTAGGGTCGTCGCTTTACTGAGGAAAAAAATGTCATTGAACCAAAGAAATATCTTGTTAATTCAATAAATTATTAAAATTCAATGAATTAATTGTCTGAGATAAACTCGAATAAATTGGATGCAACGTTTCTTCAGAATCATGACAATTTATATGGGTTTATTTGAGTGAAATAATTATTCTTCGAATTAACAAGACATTTCTTTGGCTTTTTTTCTGCGTGAGGTCGGCGGGGTAAAGGTGACGCTCGCGACCTGCCTTACCGATCTCACCGCGCGCTCCAAATACCTGAAATAGGTGTTCTACCTACCCAACGAGTTGGCGAACTCCGCAGGAAGGATACCAGCTCGTTCCACCAAAGCCGGGTCTTTAGCCTCGGTAAAGTGGATACGTCTTTCCGTTCTTCCTTCCATGTTTTTCAATAGCACTCGCGGTGATCCTTTTCTCGCCTTCCAGGCCGCGCGGATTCCTCGACGAGGCTGTTGATGGCGCACGGGGAGAGGAACCTGTAAATCATGCCCTGGGTTATGGGAAGGCCGAATCGAGTATCTATCGTGTTAGGTATCGAGGGAATTGATTTACGGTACAGTAAACGTATGAAGAGGGAATGGAGGAAAGATTACCCGATCGTGATGATATTTATACACAGAGCCGGAGTGAACGCAGGTGACCGGGGAAAAGTCGTCATCAGGTCCCAGGCATTCGCTCGACGACGCTGGAGTCCTTAAAACGAAATGCCAAGAGTCAATCCAACGCGCAAGAATAATTTCATTGACGGTAATGGGACCTCAGGAAAGTCTTGAAATTCAAGAAATGTCGGGGGAGATGTTACCGATGAAGACGCTACGCGTCGTCAGGTATAAGCACGGGTTTGCAATGATTTTTAAGATGCTAGTCTACCATATCTGGATCAGTGGAAATGATTTTTATAAGCGGGGGAAATTCGAATTTCAATCGAGATTCCCACCGGTCCGGTGAATCCTGGACCTCGGATGCTGGACGAAGTGTTGGGACTCGAAGACGATGCCGACTTCTTGGTAACCACCAACCGCCGTTGGGTTCGACTTGGTCGTTAGTGTACTTATATGTCCAGGCATGCGTGGTCGGCGCTAACACTCCCGGCCAGGCAACGGGTCTCTCTCTTTCCCGGTGCGTTGGCACGCGACTCGCGCGAACGTCCGCGGAAGACTGCACGAGCGCCCGGGACGATCGCCCCTGTACACACCGTGGGACGTACCGGGTAGGGTATCCAGCACCGTGAACCTAGCTGGGTGCCCAGCAGCGTGAATCTAGCCGAATGACGAGCAACGTATGCCCAGCAGCGTGAACCTAGCCGAATGATCAGCAACGTGGGCTGAGCAACGCGAGAGGTTGTTCACGCGGGAAATCATGGAATTAAATATTTGAAATCAGCTGGAAATCGCAAGCAGGGATCACTAAAAATCATTGGAAATCATCGAAACTTAGTCACGATTTTAAGGGGTTATGAAGGTGGCATCTGAGATTCTGAGACTCGAGAAATTTCATTTTTTATAAAGAAATGTTGAAAATATCTATAAACAAATTTTCTTAAAACTGAAATTTCACGGGTGTCGGGCCCTTTTTTATAGTCTTCATGTTCACGTTGTAAAGTTTGGAATGATTCGGTACACTCAGTTCGAATAATGATTTCACGAATGAAACCTGTTTGACGCCACTTTCGTATCGCCTTAAGAAATGTGTATTTGGCAAAAGTGCAGAAAAACATGCAAAGTGAAACGTACCGAGAAACACATCGAGGAACGTGACGAACGGAGGCCCGTGGATATTTACGGGGCTGCACCTCGCGACTAAGGACACGAGTTTCTTCGGTAAGAGCTCGTCCACTTCTGGTTCCCGATTGGCATGCAGCGCGCAAAGTCGCTCGCGGAAAACTCCGAGAGACACCGTTCCGGGGACCTCCGCTCGTCACTGGAGGAATTGCCGTTTACGGGGAGAAGCGGGATTTAATTGGTAGTATAATAAGAGCAGTGGATAATAACGCCGCCTCTTATCGGTTTATGCAGATTTTGAGGTAAATTAGTCCCTGATACGACCTGGTCGTCGAGGAGGGTGGAAATAAATAGGGCGCGGCGCACGTTTGGGAGCGGTCTTGCCTACACGGAAAAAAAAAACAGCCTTAAAGTTACAAAAGCTAATTGTATATAATATTGTAATAATAATAAACTAAATAAGAAATTGTTGTTCACGATGCGGTTAAAAACTGTTCAATTTTACTTTCTTACATGTACAATTAGCGGAAACGTTTCTGTAAAAGTCAGCTGTAACTGTAGCTGAAAATGTCCGTGAATATTAATAGCTATGAAACTGGTACATTTAAAGTATTACAAAATTGTAGGTGCAATAAATGTATCTTTATCGTAACGCTAACGGGAGAAATCTTCTGTCCTTATTTCAATGGATAAAACCTGCATGTTTCACAGATTTTTCTGTAAGTTTAACAAATTTTTTTTTTTCCGTAAGGTAGCACCGATGTACCAGGAAGTACACGTGGAACCGTGACCGGACGTCTACCCGAGATCCACGAAGCGTGAATGCGGCGCAGATATTAATTACCATTAACCATTAATATCTCAATCAATGCTCCGCCGACTCTACAAAAGCACTTTTAACAATAAGAATCTTGTTCATACGAGATAATACCGAAAATACCGACCAAAGTTGTCCAATAATTCGCAACTGCCCTGAAAGGAAAAAGAAAATAGTTGACTGAAACAAATACATATTATTGAATCATGTATAATTGCAAGAAACAGTTATTCTTGAGAAGAAAAATTTACGTTCTTGATTTAAACTAATTGTCGTTGATTTATGTTAATTTTCTTTATTCAATCTTTCTTTACTTACTCCATCTAACTTATTTGAGTTTGAGTAAAATAATTATTCTTTGAATTAACGAAATATTTCTCTGGTTCAATGAAACTATTTTTTTCTAAATCTACGTATTCTAGCGCGCACTCGAGGAGATATAAATAAATCTAAGCTGCTATCAGAGATGCGTAATTTGATCCATTAGAAACACGTAGACACCTTCAGGTGCAATCCAAGATGCGGAACGCGTCTTTGTTCGGGTAAGAATACCTAAGCAGAGCTCGTAATGAATTCTCCAGAAGGAGCACCTAGATTTCTTCCGATTCTCGGGGAAAGGCGTGGACATCCTCGAGGACTCGTAGTGGTTTCCTCGAGATCGGGGAGGACTTGAACCCTGACTCGATATTAACTATGTAATACCTGCCTGGATGCGTACCTAGATACTTACGCGCGTACGTAGCGTGTAATGAAAAGGCACACGCAGTCATTACCATTCCGCGGAACTACCCGGCTCGCCTTTGATCGGCGTACGCATTAAAAACGACCGCGAAACGCTTCACGGAGGCGCAAGGTTTCCCGCTTTACGAGGGACTTAGAAATTATGTCGAGTACGTCCTTAACTGTCCATACTCGCCGACAATTGACTCGGGTAATTGGCACACCCGACAGTACTCGCCCCTTTTCTCGTAAAGCCCTGCCCATGCCCTAAATTGCTGCTAACTTGAAACCTCTCTCTCATGATAAACTGATCTCATTATTCCCACATTCGTATACAAATTTGTTCAACATTTAATTATACAGAGATACGATTGTTATAAACGATAATATATATCAAAAAGATCCACCTTGAGAAGGGTACTAATTACAAAGTGAAAAGTTGCTTCCAATATACCTCTACCTATATAGTCTATAAATTCTTAAGGCGATATGAAAGTGGTACTTCAGAAGTCAATCGTTCATGAAACTTTTTCTCGAACTGGGTGTACCGAATCGTTTAAGATTTGACTACGTCAATGTGAAGGCCCTAAGGAAAGTCCTGACACCCATGAAATAACAATTTCCATGAAAAATAATAAATGTTCATAAACAATTTTTTCTATGAAATATCAAGAATGTCAAGAGTTCCTCGAGGATCTCCACGTTGACATGGCATAATTTCAAACGATTCGGTACACTCAAGAAACATTTCATAAACAATTGACCTCCAGTTGCCACTTTCATATCACCTTAATGGGGCGAGTATCGGCCGACGAGGTCGAGTTTGCAAGCTGCACTAGGTCAGCTTCGTGAAAGAAAAGAGTCTCAGGGGTTGTAAAAGAGAAAGGGGACCAATAAGTCACGGCGAATCTGTGAATGGGACGAGAGTGGCACCGATTGCGCCAGGGCATAGTGTTCATACCCAGGGTAAAACGCACCGCGGTAAGTGCGTAAGTTCCATTTGCTCCGCCAAATAAGCAGCGCTCTTCTAAAGATAGGCACCGTGGGTACTGGGACAAGCCTAACCTTGGCCTTCCTAGTTTATATAACGAGATCGCTCGCGAATCGCGGGCTTATTCGCGCTCGGGAAGTCGGTCGCTTCGTTTATCCTTTGTGAATCACCGCCGATCAGCCTCCCGTCCATCAGTCGGCATCGGCAGGTGCAGTCGAGATAACCGGTGCCTGAAACCATGTCAATAATCTCAAAAACAGAAGACATGGGGGGTTAAAAGTGTCCATCTCCCCTGGTACCAATCCCAGCCAACCCTTAGTACCTCCTCCCCGTGACCCGGCCCCTCCAGGTGCGAAAATTAGCGACCATCCTCTATCGACTACCTTCCATCGCCTATCCAAGTGCCCAGGAATATTCCCCAGTGATCCAATTCGCGAATCGAGTCCGGAATATTTCCCTCCTGCCCGGAAGATCGACTTCCGCACTCCCACGGAATTTCGCCCACGAACACGAGGAGAGACGGGGTACCCTCCGGCTCGGAAAAGTGCGAAAACACGTCGCGGGTGTATAAGTGGTGAGCTCGAAGCGCAACGGGAAGGGCCTTGGATCGCGAAACGGCCTAAGGATTGCGTAAGCTGGCCGTTTAAAGCTCCAAACGTGGGTGGACAAGGACTCGCCTCGGTGGAGGCCGGCTCTCGAGAAGTGCGGCGAAAATCTCCCAGTTAATCTGCCCCGTAAATCGAAAGCCTGCCGAGCTGGGAATGAAGTAAATTGCCGATAGGCATCGACCGGAACCTGGGGATTTAACGATCCGTATTAGTTGGCCATGGAGATCAAGATGATCCACATATTGCTCCTTGGGATGCTGACCATAGTCGCTCCCGTTTTGGGGAAGTGCACATTGACTTCCACCGACGATGATCGATCCATCGCCTACTCTTGTGTCCAGAGCACCCTGGCCGATCTAGACCAGCTCGCAGAGAACGTCGACTGGATCGAATTCTCGGTTTCTAGGCTGCACTCCATACCTAGTGCAGCCTTTTCTAGATTTTCGTCCTTGAAGAGGCTTGCCTTCTATAATTGCGACGTTCGAAGCGTCGACCCCAGACCTTTTCAGGGTCTGGACCACCTCGAGTGGCTGGTCTTTTACAACACGAAGATCGGCTCACTCAGGGCATCCTGGTTCCAGGATACTCCTAACTTGACCAGGCTCTCCGTGGAGAAGGCTGAGCTTCTTTACGTGGAGCCGGAGGTCTTCTCTAGATTAGGGAAGCTGGATACCTTGAGTCTCAGAGATAACGACCTCAGTTGTCTCCCGAGTGACACTCTGGACTCCGTTCGGACTCTTCGGAATGTCCAGCTGGATATGAATCCTTGGCTCTGCGAGTGCAGAACCGAATTGGCCAGGTTCTTCCATCGGGATGTTCGAATGCACAATGGGGAGGAAGGTTGGTACTACTGCTTTGGATGTGCTTTAAAAAAGTTCACTGAACCAAAGAATAGTGCCAAAGGAATATTTTGTCAATTCAAGGAATAATGATTTGACTCGAATGCACCGAAATAAATTGTCACAATACCGAAGAAATTTTGCATTCAATTTATTCGATTTTCAGTTAAATTATTATTCTTTGAATTCAATGTTTTATTGCTACCATTTAAAGACATTTTTTTCTCAGTGTACGCATGCTGTACCGTTGTTTTCGTTTTGTAGGATCAGCAAGAGCCCCGAAGGACTTCGAGTGTATGGCAAGTTTGAACCCTTCCGCTTTGGGCGTCTCCTCTAGGAACTTCTCTTCCTTGTCTGGACATCATCGGCATCATCACGGGCAGTCGTCACCTGAAATAAAAACCCTGGAAGAAGGTTCATCCACTTGCCCCCTGAGTTATCTACCTCTTCTAGATCGGGTACCAGACACGACGCGATGGATCAAGATCAGCCAAGCACACCTGGCGACCGTTCCACGATACGCCTTCTTCCGGTTTGGCAACAGCTTGACGAGCCTGGAGTGCTGGAGCTGCAATATCAGCAAAATAGAACCAGGAGCCTTCGCGGGGCTACCGAAACTAGAGCGACTGCTACTCGCCGGTAACTGGATTTCGTCGATCCAGACGGACTGGTTCCACGACCTTACCGGATTGAAGGAACTGGTGTTGCGGAACAACGACATCAAGAAGATCGAGGAAGGGGCCTTTTCCGGGCTGGTGAACCTGGAACGCCTGGACATACACGGAAATCAATTAGATTGCTTATCACCGAACCTACTATCGAGCCTACATAAGCTGAAATCGGTGAAGCTAGCGAGCAATCCCTGGACCTGCGAGTGCAGAGAGACCCTGAAGAGATACCTGACCGAGAGGAGCATCGGCTACGAGATCAGCGGATCTTGCGCGGCCGGTAAAGAAGACGTCGAAGAGGCTTCCCAAAGATGGAGACAGCGTCCAGGGTCCGAACTGACGGGATTCTCTCACGAATCCTGGCCTGATCCCACCGAAGATGGGTTCCAGCCAGGATTCGTCGTCCTGGCGACTTTTGAACCCTCTGGCACGGTCCATTGGAGTTCAGGATTGGCCACTGCCAAGTACTCGAGGTCTACCAGGTCGACCGTACAGAATCAGGCTCTTTCGACGCGATTCCTCCACGAGGACTCTTCCAGTGCCTTGTACGAATTCGAGACCCAATCCACTTCGAATTGTTTAATAGATAACGGGTATCGGTCGAACGTTGGTCGGCTACCTTACGTCTGTTTCCGCAGCAGTCTGGTCGACCTGCTGCAACTTCCCAGCACCGTGGACGCCATCAGGTTCACCAGGGCTACTTTGAATTACATGCCTTGCGAAATGTTCTACAGATTCGGCAGGTACCTGAGGAGACTTGAGTTCTACGAGTGCGGGATCCAGAGTATCGATAACAGGGCTTTTGCCGGCCTGGAGAACCTGGACACCTTGGTCCTCAGAGGAAACGACCTCGAAACCGTCAAAGCCGAGTGGTTTGTCGGTTTGAACCGTCTGCGGTTGCTCGATCTGCAGCAAAATAATATCGCCAGGATTGCGAACGACGTGTTTCTTCATGTACCTTACCTCTCGACCCTGGCCATCAATGACAACAGGCTGAACTGCATCGGAGTCGACTTTCTGGCTCGTCTGCAACACCTGCAAGTAGTCCACGTTTCCAAAAACCCCTGGAGTTGCCTGTGCGGCCAGAAGCTCCTCAGGTTCCTGGAGAGCGGGCGGATCTCGTACAAGAGGGACTTCTTCAGGGAGAAGATCAGAAACGGATGGCAATGTTACGACGTACCTTATATGGTCAGCACGGAGTACCCGGTCTCAACTTTGGCACCCATCAGGACCACTTATCGTTACACTGCACCACCTCCACCTCCTCCACCACCACCTCCACCTCCTCCGCCACCTCCACCTCCACCTCCACCACAACCTACAAGGTCACCGTCCATCGGGGTGTGTAAAAGTGAAGAAGTCATCGTCAAGCGGAGGATGCACTACTCATGTACCCTGGGAGATCTCTCCACCCTGGAACAAATTCCAAGTCACACCACTTCCATCGAACTCCACGACCTACACATTCCTCACCTGCCCCCTGGCATGTTTTCCAGGTTTCACAATCTGACTGAGCTGACCATTCGCAATTGTCATCTGCGAGACGTCGATCCCCTGGCGTTCCAAAATCTCAGGAAGCTAGAGAGGCTGACCATTCGAGACAATTTGCTAGCGACTGTTGAATCCTCCTGGTTCCGGGATATGAACAACTTGAGAAGTCTCGACCTGGCCAACAACTCCATCCATGAGATAGAGGCCAACGCTTTCTCCCATCTCTACAGGCTGGAGCATCTCTCCTTGAACAGAAACAATCTTAGATGTATCTACACGAAGAGCCTCCTCGAGCTCAGGAACCTGAAGACCTTTGAATTCGGAGACAACCCTCTCAAGTGGAGGTGCAGAGAGGAGTTGGTTCAGTATCTCGAGATGTATCGAGTTGATTACAAGGCCTCTTTGAACCCTTGCTACGGGAAAGAGGTCGTTGGAGGTCTTCTGCGAGAAGAAGGCTCCAAGACGACGGCCTCGAAGACGACCTCGGCTGCGCCTTCTGCAGACAGTTTCAGCGCGAGAATGTTTGGTTTCATCGCCGGTCTTTTATTAATTAATTGTAACATTCGCTGACGCTCGTGATCGGGGATTACGATCACCGATCATGCGGATTCACATTTTCGCACATTCGTAGTGAATTTTCATTTGTATGTTGTCGACGCCCTGTAAGCTCGAGCGTGCTACTACCGCTACCTTAATTATTTATAGAACAGATTTAATTTGGCACCGCTGATAATACCGTAGCTGCCAATTGTGCTTATGTTCTTCTTTTTTTAATACTCTGATGTCATTAATTTTTCCGTAGAAGACTGCAACGTTCGGTAATAATTTCCCCTCTTGTGTTCATCGCAGGTGTACATGAACGCCTTAGGTACTCACGTCGATTCTCATTCCCTGGAAGGAATGCCGATGTAATTAGGTACTTAATTGTTGTTAACGTCGAGCGACTCGACTTTGATATTGACCATTATTAATGTAATAATTTATTAATAAAAGTATTACGAACGAAAGAGCTGCCGGTGGTTTAACTCGGGTTTTTCGGTCAGGCAACGCTGCAAAATCCTGCTACGTGACAAAGACAATGAAATGTACAAAACCTGCCATTAGTATGCGACATCTCAAATAATACCTCGACATGGAAATCGCAAAAGATTAGTGTAACACTCACTTCTGAGGTGTTAGGACGATTTGAGCAGTGTACTTTGTTTATTCGTTCTTTTATTTATGGAAATGGGAGGATCCATGTTCCTTTGGGTACTGTCTCTGGTAATGCTGGTCGGATCATACCTTGCTGGCTTACTTCCTGTAATCATGAACTTATCAGAGGTAAATCAACCCTACATCATCTAAGGTTTCATATGCTAACGTATATTTCATATATTAACGTTTTCTCCCTTCTCTATCCTGAGAATCTGCGCGCATGTTTAAAACTTGAATATTTTTGTAATTTCTCAGGGAGTTCTTACATTTTAGAATGATTATAGCAACTATTTTTTTTTTTTAGGAAAAATTGCAACTAGTGTCCGTACTGGGTGCAGGCCTTCTTATTGGTACTGCATTAGCAGTTATTATTCCAGAAGGAATTGAAACACTAGGCAATGGTGAACACTCTCATCACCATCATGATTATCGTGATTACGATATTTATCACGACCACGATTTGCACGAAAGTGACGAGGAACAGAGTAAAAATTTGTATACTCTTTCTATTTCTCATGAAAGTGCAAACAATCGAAATAATTGTTACTTGTTATTTCAGGTACCTCGCACAGCCTCATAGGTACTAGTTTAATATTAGGATTCGTGTTCATGCTTCTGATAGAGCAGTGCACTTATAGACGTGGAGGTGGAAAAGAGAAAAGTCTTACGGCTACATTAGGATTGGTAGTTCATGCAGCCGTCGATGGAATTGCATTAGGGGCAGCTGCGACAACTTCTCAGGCGGACGTTGAAATGATCGTTTTTATAGCTATAATGTTACATAAGGTGACCACTTTTAGTCACCATAACCCGAAATGTGAATATCTCTTTGCACAGACGTACAACTTGAGTATTTATTAACAGGCTCCGGCTGCATTCGGACTCGTGTCGTTTCTACTTCACGAGGGAGTCGAGCGCAAAAAGATAGGAAGACATTTGCTCGTATTTTCTCTGTCAGCACCTTGTCTGGCATTGCTTACGTATTATTGCATCGGAAAGGTAACGAATTTCAACGATTTTATTCCACAAAGTATTCTTATTCCAGTTATCATGACAATTGGCATTCGCTGCATCCTTTTATTCTTCTTAAGGAAGGAAAGGAGACGCTGCACACCATAAACGTTACAGGCGCCGCCATGTTGTTTAGTGCTGGAACTTTCCTGTACGTTGCAACTGTTCACGTGCTACCAGAATTAATGATGAGAGAAAAATCTTCTTATTCTTACGTGTCAACGGGCGAAGATGATAAACAACAGACATCTGGTCTTAAGTTCAACGAAATAGCCGCAATGGTCGTTGGTTCTTTCATTCCTGCACTGATTGCCTCCGGGCATCATCATCATCATTGACTGAAAGCGCAAACATTGTACGCGAAAAATAAAACATTTATTTTATAACGATACGGAAGTTTCTTGTTTATTGCCGCTTAGGTTTTATGCGATTTAAATCCCGGGGTAGTTGGAGCATTTTCAAATGTCGCGCCAATAGTATCGTTAACAGGCCGCAGTTCTGCTGATCGCGACGGGTGTCCTTCAGGGTGCGTCGCATCATCGTGGCGAGATTGAAGAACCAATCAGAATGGAGCTTCATTTCGAGCGTCTTATTTCGAGCATTCTGATTGGTTCTCCATCCTAGACGCATTAACGCGTCGTGTTCCGTCTAACTTTCGATGCGCTCATTGGAACTCTGGTCATTGGACACAAGTCTGCACAAGTCTGACAATCTCGGAACGTTCATTTTCAATGATTGTCATGTGTCAAATAGTTTTTCTGTAAATACCGGCTGCCACGTTCGCAGTCATTGCTTGCTGTTGCCTGCTGCACTGCGAAATCGACTACGTGGAGAGAGCAGCAGACAGGGAGACCTGTTGACAACATGCGGTGCTCCATTTATTCGTGCAGTCGACACACTCACCACAATACGGTGGTGCAACACGTTTAGGGTGATGAATTATCATACTTTACACAGCTTGTAACATTAATTCCATTGAAATATACAATGGAAGAGTCTTCGATTCTATGGATGCTGGCGGTGGTTATGATGCTTGGTTCGTACCTAGCTGGCTCGCTTCCTCTGGTTATGAACTTATCGGAAGTAAGTGCTCTTGTTCTGTGTTACAGATTTGTGTTGAATAATCATATTGTCCTATGTACTAATGTTGGATAAATTAAATTTACATTTTTTCTATAAATCTAGGACAAGCTGCAATTAGTTTCGGTATTAGGTGCGGGTCTTCTCGTGGGTACTGCATTAGCCGTCATTATTCCGGAAGGAGTTGAAGCGTTATTCAGTGGCAAAAACAATAACGAGCACAGTGAAGTTCATAGTAAGGTTTTATCACCATTTTTAATTGATTATGTTGTTTGTTCTCTAATCGGAAGAAAGTAATGTTGACAAAGTTTGATTATCTCTAAGTTGATGATGAATGATTTTTTTATTACAGGTGATCTTCACGGTCTTATAGGTATTAGTTTGATTTTAGGCTTCATATTTATGCTCTTAGTCGAACAATGCACATCTAGAGGGAATGGTGGAAAGGAGAAGAGTTTCACGACAACGTTAGGTTTAGTAGTTCATGCAGCAGCCGATGGGGTAGCACTAGGAGCTGCTGCGACAACTTCGCAACCGGATGTTGAAGCGATTGTGTTCTTGGCCATAATGCTGCATAAAGTAGAGTTCATCAGATTTTTAATATCCTTTAGTGAACAGTGTATTTCAATCTTGTCTGTTCTTTTTCTCGAGATTGATTCATGAACATTTAGTTAATTGATGTCTTATAAATTTGCATAATTTTTTAGGCTCCCGCTGCATTTGGTCTTGTATCATTCCTACTTCATGAAGGGGTCGATAAGAAGAGGATAAGCAGACATTTGTTAGTGTTCTCCCTTTCGGCCCCTTGCCTTGCTCTTCTCACATACTTTTGCATTGGGAAGGTAATAAAAAGAAAAATAAGTATTAGTTTTTCACATCATGCCAGACATTCAGAATTCTCTAAATTAAAAATTGTCTGTTATTCCTCCATGTTTAATTTTCCACATGTTATCTAACCAATATTAACAAAATTACTCAATAAAACAAATGTAATTTTTTTCTACAGGAAGGGAAAGAGACTTTAAGCACTGTTAATGCAACTGGGCTTGCGATGTTATTTAGCGCTGGAACGTTTCTATACGTAGCCACTGTTCATGTACTGCCAGAATTAATGCTCAGAGCCAGTACTTCATATGCTCGATTACCAACAACTGAAGGTGCATCACATACAACCCATGGTCTTAAATTTAAAGAAATAGCTGCACTGGTTATTGGCTCCTTTTTACCTGCCCTAATTGCAACCGGTCATCATCATTGACTTAGAGAAATTACCGCTCAAAAATGAAATATTTTCTTATTTTGTACCTTGCTAAATGTTGATTATACAACATTGATCCTGTGGCTATACGATAGTTAAAAATGCCTTTTATTTTAATGCACACGAAGAGTGCCCCTTTTGTACAGATTTGCAATGCAGACATAATTGTTATTCTTTATAAACAGTTCCTTTATTAGAGCAGGTCAGATATTATGATCACAATGAGATTTAAGTAATACTTCATAAAAAATAATCACCGATTATGTGAATCCTTAAGTAGTAAAACATGAACTATACCTTTTTTACATGAGAGTAAAGTAATAATACAGCAGGAAGAATAATTCACAATGATAATCAATTTCAGAAATGTTTAACTGAGAAACAGAATTTTTATTTGAGTATCTAATTGTATTTATCGCGAGTAATTGTTGGTTCGTTTACATGAAATATAAAATGTGAGCAAGGTACATGAAATGCAAGACATTTTATAAGGATGGTTAATGGTATTACATACTGTGTATATTTTGTTAAACAAATGTTTAGTAGTAATATGAGATATGCAATAAATATTTTATTTATAATAAACTTCATGTAATTCATTATTATATCATCCTAAATTTTACTTTTATAGGAACGTAGCGGTACTATCCAAGTAACCACAGTAAGTGGATTTTGTATCTCCGTTCTAATAACATCAATCAGAGAGATTTCCCCAAGTTCTCCAGGTATGTACCTTAATTTTCATGTGCCTTTTTTAAAAATAGGTACCTTTGTTTAAATTCCTTTATGAGATGGCGCTTCATCCTTCGTTCTCCTTTCGCATAGGCACTTCAGGTACCAGAAACATCCGCAGGAATAACGGCGCTCGTGAAGCAATAAATTTGATAGCTGTGTTCCATTGGGTCTAGCTACTCTCATCTTCTCTGTGCTGTATGGTAACCCTGTACGATTTCTAGTTTCGTTGTGTTCATAGTTGTATGGAAAAATCACTATGTTGTGATCTAGAAATTGTCAGTTGATAAATTGACAGTGTCCATAAAATCATTCGTTAATCTTCTTTTGACGCTGTATGACGTTCAGAAATATTTGACATTTTTAAGCGTCGGTAACCCATTCCGTCATGTTGTTGGCCTGTGCGACAAATCAGGTGATTTCTTCGTATATCGTAACTGCTCACAAGTGCCAAGGGCATACTGGAAGCAAACAATCATCTGGTCGGAAGTTTTATCAATTATTTTAATATTTCAATCCATTATTACTAATGGGGCCTACTGTTACAAACGTTTTCATGGCTTAACGTGGCCTCTGCAAGAAAATCTAGTTGAATAGAACGACAGTATTAGGAATTTACCACAATAACCAAGGAAGCACACTTGTAATTACACATGTACGTATCAATCAAATAACTTACAGCGTAACTCGTTTCTCGACAAACAATTTTGTCAAATTTATGATATTAAATGTTGAGTCACGTTACATATAAAGTAAAATTTCCTTCTTCAATATTCATAGGTACTTAGCTTTAATTCTATCAAAGGTCAGTTATCCAGAATGTAAAAAAAATTGTGTTTGCACTCAAAATGTAAACATCACCTTGTGAGGAATTCAGAAATGCCTTATTAAGCAAATTATGTAATGGAGTATATGGGCCGGTACAAGATATATTTATCTACGTCATAGTGATTTTATTAAATAGTGATTTTATTTTACATTGTAAATCTTTTAATTTTTCAGATTTCTGTCTAATGTGTCTGATGAGAAATAATGGAATGGAGCCATGGAGGAACGATGTAATGATCCTTATGAACAGCAGCTCTTAGCAGTGTATGAAAGTTGTTTGAAGGAAGAACAAGTCGGATTGGATGAAGACGGTTTACGTTTATTATGCGATAAGCTACAACTAGAGGAACGTGGGAAAGAATTGATATCTTGTCTGTTGGAACAAACGCCGTTACAAAAGGGTGTCACTTTCATTGATTTTCGAGATGGATTATTATCGTTACTTGGAAAGTCGCAAGAAGGAATTCCAAATTATTCTGGAAAGGATGTTGGGGATGATTCTGACCAAAAGACGCAGTCCACTATTGTGAAAAATAAATATAACTGTTGGTCAAAACCGGATGGTCAAGTTCAAGATGAAACGGATGTTCAACACAAGGGTAAAGGTAGATTTTGTATTATGTTGTAAATGTACTGGCAATAACTAGAAATTACTAGAAAATGTTAAATATTATAGGAAGTAACTCCAAAGATCAATGGTTGCGAAAATTGAGAAGCAAAGTGAATGGTAGTTTAGATGGAACAATGGATTCTTCAGATTTGTGCATCACACCAAACTGTCTTGGAATTCCATCGCTTCCACGACAGGTTTTAAGACTCGATATATGCAAGATTACATTTCCTTGTCCTCTGAATGGAAATTTAATAGACTAATGTAGTATTGTCAATGGATAGTGAAGAATAAATAAATATTTTTAGGCTATTGAACAAATATTTGAGAAGCTCGATGCTGATCGTGATGGCCACATTAGTTTGAATGACTTTTTTCTACTATTTCAAAATGGGAGAACACCACTAGAGCAATTAAGATGGAATGATGGAATCCAAAGCAATGTAGTTAAACAAAACTCTGAGAAAGATATTATTCAAATGCTTGGCCCCCATCACACCGGGTATGTAAATACATTTGTCCTACATTCTTATTACGTTTTTTATTTAAAGTGTTAAATTCGTACAAATTATTACAATCTTCGACTTATTTTATTTTACATCTCTTTGTGTGTGTGTTTTAAAATGTTTCCCTCTTTAAATGTAAAATAACAGATTTGCAAGAAGCAATACAATAGTAGATATGTGGGAAGTTGCTGGAGTTCCTGATGCAGCAGCTCTTTTAGCTGAACTAGGCTTTACTTCTACGGATATTAGTCTTACAGAATTAACACACGTTCTTTCTGATGAGCTAAAAAGTCTATGCGATGAATCAGGAAATAGTTTAGTAGGCACACATGGAAGTCTACTGAAAGCAGCGTTAATCCTCTACCAAGAAGAAGTACGAATCCTCAAGTACGTTTCTATTCTAAATATGTTACTAAATAATATTGTCTTTTCAAATATATCTCACTTTAGTATTTTAAAGTACTTCAATTTTTTTTCTTTATGATAGCTCTTTACTAGAACACTTGAGCAATGAAAGAGATAAATTGCGTATGGATATAATTGATGCTAATGAGCGTGCTAGTTTACTTGCTCAAGAAATTGATGAGCATCACATTCGATTAGAAAAATCAAGCCAACAACAACTAAAACAATTGGAATTACGGCACAATGAAGAAATAAAAGAGTTAACAAATCAACTCACAATAGAGCGTGAAACTAACACTGCTGCTATGAGTTTAATGAATCAACAGTTGTTAAGTTTGCAGCAAGAGGATCAGAGAATGAAAACCCAGCTTGCAAATGCGATGCAGGAAACCCATAACCTCGAAATAGAAAATCAGGAACTTTCTGACCAAATTTCGCGTCTTAAATTATCTAACAGTCAGTTACAAATACAAGTTCAAGCACTTGCTGCAGAGCACGATGAGGTACGTGGTTGAGAATGTTATTCCACTTTATTACTCCTGGTGAATAATTTAGAGATATACATAATTGAATCATATCGTAACCCCCAAAATTGTGGTAAAGTTTTTGGTTCATTGTGTTTAAAATATAGTAAACGTATAAAAAATATTTCTAGGTAGAAACTGTGGAAGCTAGACAAAACGAACAACTTGTATCTTACATCGAGAGAATAAGGAGTCTTCAGTCAGAAGCAACGATGTTAAGAGATCAAAATGACGAACTCTCGTCTGAATTAGAAAATTTAAAACGACGTGAGGCTACAGTGACAAGTAATAGGTATACAAATTACAAAGTCTTACTTTACCTTCATGAATTTGTTGCATTTTAATACAGTATCATTTGCAGTAATTATATTCTAAAAAATGAATTATTGTAGGGAACATGAAACTTCACCAAATACTTCAATGAAAAATGTATTGTGTTCCGCGAGTGAAGGTAAGGTATACTGTTATTCTAAATGAAATAAAATAGCAATAGAAATTTCATTGCATATTTTTATAATGTACTTTATATGACTGTGTAACACTAAAACTAGGGAAAAAATACTTCGATTCATGACAAGAGTGAATAATTACAGATACGAACCATATGATGAACACTAAAGTTTTGATGGATCGGGTGGATGAATTAGAAAAACTTTTAAAACAGTCCGAATTTGTGAGTGTAATTCCCTGATATGGATCATCATATTTTGCATTCTTGGTTCATTGATTTAGCTTCAGAATTCAAGTGTAATATGTCATAATATTTTTCTTTCTGCACTTAGGTAAATCTGCAAACTCACTGTAATGGTTCGAGTAAGGATGGATTAATAGATACAAAATTACCTGAATTAAATCGTTTACTAGGAACCACTGTGAAAACGCTGAAGAGTCTCCTAGAAGAAAATAACTGTGCGTGTGAGAACTGTATCTTCAAAAGCAAAATATCCGATATGATTAATGGTCTAAATTTGAACCTCTTATCGCAATTCTTAGCAGAGGACTCTAATGTAAGTCTTGCGAATGAATTAGAAACAGAATGTGAGGAACGTACAAGTGAATCACTCAGAGACTTGGTTGTGAGTAAGTACGATAAGTCTAAGCTTGGAAAGCGAATGTCATGTAGCGACGATATGATACATAATATTGATAAAAATTATAACAATCTAGACATGAAAAATGTTACGAAAAGCAAAGTAACAAGTCTCAGGGACTACCCTCCACGCAAAGACGACAATTCGATTGGAGATCAAATCAGAACCGAAAAAGATAAAAATAATATTCCTTTCACTTCTGCGCATTTATGTAGTAACAAGACTGACATGAATAATTTAGATATCGTAAAACAAGAACAAGCTCCAGATTCGGAAAAATTGAAGCAATTATTGGAGGAACAAGAAACTAAATATGTAATCGAAAAGAAGCAGTTGACTGAACGGTGTGTTGAGTTGGAGAGAAGCCTAGATCTACTACGAGCCGAGTATGAACAATGTGAGGATTACTGGGCTGGAAAATTGGAAGAAGAGAGGCAATTGTTTGAACAAGAGCAGAAGATCAGCGATGAAAAATTGTCAGAGTTAATTGCTAAAATGGCGGAGTATGAAGAGCAGTTTGGTTCGGGTGATAAATCTCGTAATGATGGAAGGTTATCTCCCATTGAGGAACGATTTAACCTTGAACAGCAGGTACGGTTCACGTGTCAATATTTCACCCATCATACAGCTTATTACATCTGCATACAATTTTGTAATTTTACTATGTTTCCAGTACATTGATTTGGAAGAGGAGTTTCAAAAATGGAAATGCCAAATACAAGAAGATCTGTCTAAAAAAGACCATGAGATTAAAGAATTGCGTGAAAAATTGCATTGCGACATACGACCAGCGACCGTCGACGTGTGTGTTCAATATTCGCAAGAAGAGCCCGAACTTTTCTCAAATTTAGAGAGCTCATCGAATCAGGATTTATCCGATGGATTTGATACGAGCGAGTTAAACGTAACTAATGTTGGTCTTCCATTTTCTACACAGTCGTTATCGAAGTTAATTCAGCCCGATACAAACTCTCACAGTCTGACTTCTTCATTTAAGACGGACCAAGAGAACGTAATTTCATCCCAGGATGTTAAGTTGCCACAATTAATGAGAGTATCGTCCTATCTTCGAAACCCTAATTATCAACAGGCAGAAGCTCACACTATGTCAGGTGATACGAGCAAAATTCAAAAAGATGAATTGCAACGGCTTTATCAGAAGAAAGTAGATATTAATTCCGAGTGTATTTCCCTGACGAAGCAAAAAGAAAAATTGATACAAGAAATCCTGACGTTGCAGAATATTAGAGCTACGAATTGCCTTTGTCCTCAAGTCGATGTCAGGGAACAAGCATGTCGCATTGATATCAACGTCTTGCAAGCATTAAATTCAAGACTTCAAACACAGGAACAGAAACGTCACCGTCTGCAGGCTACGCTTAAGCAGCATCAGTTGCACACCGAAAGAATTTTACACCGTAAGTATTGCTATTTCATACGATGACTTCATATATATTTCTGATTTAGTAAAATTCCAAATCCACTGACAAATAAACCTGATTAAAAATAGGCTAACACTTGTCGCGTAAAATAATTAAATTCCTTTCATCATTTGTATAGAAACGTGGGCGCAACATCGTACCGAAGTTGCCGATTTACAGTTTGTCCTTCGCAGTACTCAAGGAAAGCTACAACAATTAATCCAGACGAATAAAGAACAGGTATGTTCTCTTTATTGATGAATAATGGCTTGCAAAGGCTTTTATTTTGTATATGATTAATATGAAATATATATCATAATTTTAGTTGTTATAATTTCAGGCCGATCAACTAGCAAGGGCTGATTTACTCGTTAAGGATCTCTACGTCGAAAATTCATATTTAACAGCAAATGTGAAACGTTTGGAGCAGCACTGTCATGCGTTAACTCAGTTTAGTGCAGAATCTACATCCGTATGACCCAAGGTAACGTCATGTAATATGTAAAGTCAAGCAAGAAATAATGCTTGAAGTACATAATCAAGTAAAGAATAACGCAAAGCTGATAATAGTTGCAAATTTGTGAATCGTTCCTATCTTCTTTGCTCATTTCTCACAAAGTGCACTTCATTTATTTCCATTTTAATATTAAATTCGCGTATGTAAATGTGTTAAGTCTCACGAATTGTAGGTAGATAATTTGAAATGCGTTGTAACTCCTCGCAAAGTGAACTGAAAAATACATAGACATTCTGTAAGTTGCCATATTATTTTTGTTATGTATACGAATGTTGAATAGTATACTTTATACAGCTTGCTGTATAACGCTTATTTTGTCGAAAGTAAAATTTGAGAATTACGGTGTTGTAAACTGTACATATAATCTGAATTAATTAAAAAATTGCTGTGTTGCTTTTTTATATGGTTTACACAAAGAGTTACTAAATAATATTTGCTGTAATACTTCAGCAATTTGTAAGTCGTTTAGAAATGTGGCAGTGATTTGAATTGTTGCAAATTGACGTTTATTTAGCCTAATTATTGTATGTATCCGTCAAAACTGCGTAATTTATATTAGTTTACTTGTACAAAATAAGATAAATCAAAATTAATCTTAATATTTAATGTTTCTTCACTGTTAATAAATATTAATGACGTCAAATATGCTATTTCAGATTGCCTTCACACCAAGTATAACAGTTCAGTTGCTTATGTATTTATTCTACCCGTTATGTATATAATTATATCTATGTACATAAATTTTGAAGATTATAGGTAATGGTTAAAGAATAGGAAGATGCTATTTTTAAACTATTGTAGGATTATAGGTTTAATTGGTTATGAAACGGATAGAACTGAGAATCCTACAATAATCATGTATTAATATAACAATAGTATGCATGCGTTAAGTGAAAAACCGTAGCCATTATGAATTTAATTCCATTATTAAGCAGGTGTAGCAGATTACATCCACAATAATGTGCATTGTACGACTACTTTATTCTATTATTCCCAAGTTAGATTTAAATATGTTGGGAATAGATACATTTTATATATTTCTATACCTTATTAAAAAAGTAATGTTAGCACAAAGTTACAAAGTTTTATATAAATACCATGTAAGATCCTTATATTGGAACCACTGCATTTACCTTTTGTTTAACTACATTTTACAGAAATTTGTGCCTTCAACCTGTATAGAAAATTAACAATGTATCTATATAATAAAATTTCTGTAATTGTATTTATTGTAAATGTTGTTTTTATCTCCATCCTGCTAACACATTAAATAACTTGGAATGTGAATTTACCAATTTTAAGTTGATTAGAAAATAAGAAATTTGTTTATAGTAGGAATTCAAAGACAAAATATTTCACAAGGATCGTTTCAAATAATATTTAAACAAATGCACTTTTAATTATTTTTTATTAAAGTGCAAATCACACATATGATTCAGGAAATTCAAATGTAACATCACGACCTGTTAACTTCTTATACACAGCAGCAAACGTGTCAACCTGAAAATTATATTTATCACTACATACTTAAATTATTGACTACAAAAATATATTTTTCTACCAAAATGAGGAAAATGAATTATTTGCATAAAAAAATATGAAACGTACCTTATGTTCTATATTTGTTTGCTCATTTTTGTCCAAGTGTACTTTGATTACTTGAGCACCATCCAATTTAATTCGAATACGCTTGCCCACAATTTCTACTGGGTATACCAAGTCTTCCAATAATGCGTCATATACTGCGGTGAGCGTACGACTGAAAAGAATAAATTAACAATCTAATATGTTTCAAATTACTTGTTCAAAGTAAAAGTTAATATTCAAGTATAAATTTGGAGAAAAATAATCTGATGAAAAAAAAAGTTATACCTCCTAGGTCTTTTCTGCTTATTCTTCGTACGTGTCTTGCGAGTAGGCTTAGGAAGAATTTTCCTTTCTCCCACAAACATTACATGCTTTCCTGAGAACTTTTTTTCCAATTCACGTACCAGCCTTGTTTGAATTTTTTGGAAAGCTTTCAGCTTTGGCATCGGTACGTAAATAATAATAGACTACAACAGAAAACACGGACAAATATAAATGCAGAAACGAACATTAATTTGCACAGAACAAAGTAAAATCATTTAAAAACCACTAAGATATAATGAACATGATTAAAAAAGGATTAACCTTTTTATTATTAGTTTCAATTTCTCTTGCTTTAGTGATATAAAGTTCTCTTAATTGTGATTTCAAGTCACTGTTCATTTCCAACTCCAGCAAAGCTTGGGCAATGCTGGTTTCGAAGGCATCAGGCTCAGCCCCGCCGCTTTTCACAATTTTGGCACTTGCTGTGTACATCTAGAAAACAAATTGAAGATTTAATAATTAAACATTAATATACGCTATTACTAAAAATAGATTACTAAAATGACGTTACTCTTAAATGTATGTCAGTAATTAATGACAAAGTTAAATGTTATTTGACTAAGGTTAGGTTGCGAGTCTGTTTGATATACAATTTAAAAAACACAAAAAATAGCCGAATATAAGGTTTAAAGTAGTGCTTGTATAACGCGTGTCAAAAGGCTTAATAAATAGTATTGTGAGAAAAAAATACGTAGAGACTCGGCGTTCTACATGTCAAATTGTCCTGCCAGACATGTAAATAAAATCGTTCCGTATCCCGTTGGGGATAAAGCATCCGAATCCTCCAAGGAAATTATCAAATTAAATAAACAGTATTTTACATGTTTCTAAATATAGTTTTGCTTTATTAATAATATTCTTCCACATTAAAATCCTTTTTGGTCCGGCATTAAAACATACCTTGCCAGTTCACAGCACGCGTAAGAGGCCCGAAACACCGTGAAAGTAGTCACTTCAGATCAGTGACACCAACCGTCTTCAAAACATTTTAAAGAATATTGATAATATTCCCTAGTGGGTCTCCACTGAACTGTTTCCAGTTTAGCAATTAGAATGAGTTGGGGAGGTTGCTTACGGGCAGGGTCGTATGATCGAGTTCTATGCTGCCCTCGTTGGAGAATGCAGGCGACTCATGCACTTTCTCCCAATGGCGGCCCAATTCAGGGAGCCAACTCATCGTTGCTTTCGCTTAAACATTTCACTTAAAAATTGGTGCCGAGCCAATTCATGTGTATGGTCTCGCATTTTCACCACTAAAAACGTTCCGTAATACCGTGAGTTACTCATTTTCAAAAAACGCTCTAGAAACGCTTGAAAACGCTCGATAACGCTAGTAGGGAAATGTAAAAATCATACGCGAAATGGCTCGGCTTGTATCCGTAGTTAGGTAAGCTTCGGGAGGATTTTTCGCAGTATTCGACTCTCACGCATACTCGTCGGGTGTGCGCCGAACGCACACATACTCAACGTCTCGACCCGTAGCTTGGCGCTTGGCTGATTGGGACGCGCGAAGATTTCTAGGAGCGATCGCACTCCCACAGATTCGCTGCATGATAGTTTCGTACGCGACGTACGAATTTCCCGTGAGCCGATGGTGGCTTACCTACGCTTACCGACACTGACGGTGGTGTCAACTGCCGCATGGTATTACCATCACGAGTACGTGAGCCGCCAACGGCGACTGGTAGATGGTACCGCCATCGCGAGTGCGCGAGCTCCTATCAGAAATTCATTGCGCCGCCCTGGGGGGCAAAAAACGGTGAAAGCTAACGTACGAAACCAGAGGGCAGCACAGGATGCGATCGCGTGACCCTGCCCGTGAGCAATCTCCCAATTCATCTCTGCTCATCTCTGCTCATCTCTGGAGCAATCTCCCAACTCATCTCTGGTATTCCTGTATCGTGATATTTATGTTGGCAGCATGGTTTAAACTCGGATCTGTCATAATAAGTTTGAAGAGGTTATTTACTCTATGATTCAATGTATGATAATCGATTTTGTGCTGTAAATACTCTGCTTCATTCATATGATTTAAGTGATATTGATAATAATAGAGCGCTAATATCAGAACGTATTATGAAAAATCGTTGTGTACTTACGATTTATTCAGTATAATACGTAATTCTTTATAATAAAGAAGTGCTAACCACGCGTGTTTAAGAAGGTGTCGTGCATGAAGTGGTAATTGTTACTTGCAACTGTATGTACAAGTGAGATTTTTCGATGATCATTTGGTTAAAATGAGTGTGAAGACATTTAGTTCAGTCGCAGAGGAGTATTTTTACAGTATCAATTCTTTGGCTCAAAGGATCGGAGAAGATGTAGCTGCCACAAAAGAAGCCTATGAAGGGCTGTGGAGCACTTTGAGCACCGCAGAACGCAACCAAGCTATAGATGAAACAATAATCCAACCCGAAGTAGCATTGAAGTATACTTTGAAGAATGCTGAAGCTCCACAAGATTTACCAGAATATTATCCAAAACTATGCATTCAAACAGGAATGAAATATGTTATAGATGATACCGGTTCAGTAAGTATACAATTACATTCAATTGATGTTGATAGAAATTTTTGGTGCGATATATGGTATAAAATGTAAATTATTTCATTACAATAAAATGCAATAGAGTCGTTAAGACAAAATAAATAGTTCATTAATTTATTTCAGACTTTACGTTGGAGAGACGAGCATTCTGCACCCTTCTCATTCATGACGCAGTCTCAAATGAATCTTTCATATTCAGATTCATCTGAAGATGTAAAATCTATGCCTTTAAGAAACTATGCCAATGATTCACCACTTTTCTCAGGACCCCTGCAGATGCAAGAGATTAGCGATAGTTCAATAACTGATAACTATTCAACATCTGAAAACCTTAATTTCTATGAGTCTGAAAATTTCTCAGAAAATGTATTTGTAAGCGGAGAACATGGCACTCTCTTAGCTGCTGCGATTGACAATGATAACTCGGAAAACATCTTTGCCAAATTTATAAATAAGACATCATTATTAAAGATACAGAACAAGCTCGATGATGATATGGAAACATTAGTTCCGTTAAAGACTGGTATGGCCAAGAGTTCACAGAAGAACATAAACAATGATAAAAATCAAATGAATATTAGTCTTATGTCTACAAGACTCAAGTCAGATGAAATTGACGAGTCCACTGCCCTGTTAGAGACTCCTAGTTCCTACAGTAGCTTCCAATCTTCACAACTGAATCAAGAAGAAGAAATCCCAAAGACAGGTTTTGAATTTTTAGATAATTGGTAAATGCGTTTCTACGATCACACAGTTAAAACCTGGTACATTTTCCTTCCTTTGTGCAGTGTATCTTCTTCCTTAACTGCAAAATTATCAAATAATTTAGCATGGATTAGTAACAAGACTTGTACATGTTTCCTTTTATATTTTTTTATCAATTTGAATGTTTAAATTTGGATGCTTTTATATATTAATTCTAAAATAATTGAATGAGGATCTGCTCAGTATTATTTCAGAGATTATGTAAGCATTTAGCTGCGTAATTGTTTGCAGTACATCCAGTTTATATTACAACTTGAATAAGAGAAGTCATTTCGTTCCTACAAATAACCCTTTAGGAACTGTCATTATTGAGTGCAAGTATATTATTCGTATATAAGTTTATTTTCAAATTAAGGATTCCACCTAATTTCAACATTAAAAATATTAAATGCAGTATACTGAAATTAAATATAATGCATATACGAAAATGGTGCTTAAGGGGTTTAATTATCTATATCACAAGAAATAGTAATGTTGGTAATGAAGCCTGTACTTTTTATATGTCGTTTATATTTGCAAGAGATTTGACTTGTAATCAGTGCATGTTTAATTCTTTCAGACTGGATAGATTTTTAATGATTTATTGTAAAGATTCTTTATTTTCAGTAACTTATTTGAGAGGTACTTTTATAAAGTTAAATGGAATCCAGAACTTTGTCACTTGAACGTTTGTCAGAAATTTAATCCTAGTCAAAAAGAAAATATGACAACACGTTTATGGACAAATTGGTCTACTAGTTACGTAAATGTCTTGAACATGTATCAGTATCGATTAGTAAAATTTGTATGAGCATATAGTCTATGAGAAAGCTTTTCCCATGAACTATTCCATGATATTTTCCTAGTATCGCTTTACTTATATAGGCTCTTCAACGCACACATTGACTAGACGTAAGTTAGGCAATAAAGAAAAAGAAACTCCTTTTTCTTTCGTATGGAAGGCTGATCGTACATTTAATATCCTTAAGAATATATTCCAATGTTCTCCGTAAAAAATGTGTACAGTGATTCAGATTGTGTGTATTGAATGTATTCAGCAAAAAAGACGATAATATATTTATGAATTTACATACGATATGTTTCATCTGTAATAAAGCTTGCAACAACAATGAAAGCAATCGGCTTTAATTTAGTTTTAACTATTAATTATTTCAAACATGAAACCATTGTCAAATTGATAATTAATTTAAAACAAATATGTAGATGCCGTGATCAGAGGTAGGAACAACAAACAACCAAATATAGAAACGTAATTTTTATGTTCACGTATAGTAAATAGCATAGATACAACATACATTTGTGACATTCATTCGCAGGTATCCCTCTTTATACAAATCGTCGTACTATTTGTCACATACAATATTTACAAACAAGTCTCATAATTTACAATGTTAGAAGATGACCCGACTCGATTTCGTGGCTATATTACAGAGTATAAAATCAGTCTAACAGCGTGAACGATCGCATTTCTTGTGAGAATGTCGTTACAGCTAGGATGGCAAACCTCTCGGTTTTGTTGCGAGTTTTAAAAATGCTCACCGGTGAGTATTCTTCGGCAAAATAGTCATCTATTCATATAAAGACTCTCTGACACAAGGAAGCTATTAACAGTCAGTTGCGCCAAGTTAAAACTAAATTGAGAATGATTCAAAGTCTCTAGACGACTCGTAGTGATCAATACGTTTCTTTCTCTTATACCAATTACGCCGATGTTAAGTATATTACATGTATAAAAGGCGTTCAACAAATTGCAGACGTGCGTTATACTTGCGTCGAAAGATTGCTGATAACATCTCAAATTATTCGAGTTCAGGTTCTTTGAAAGAGAAAATAGAAAATATTATGAAACGCCTCGAGAATGAATTGCACCGATCTCAAAGCACCGCATGAGTGTTACTCTCGATGTGCACCTGAAGGAAGTCCTCGTTGTTTCGCCACAATTGCGAATAAGTTCCTTACAACGCCTCTCCTAACTCAACTACTTTCTTCTACTAAAAACTGTACAAATTCACAGACACCCTGATACAAGATGCCGCACTATCGTTAAAGACCAGTATTTAGGCACTACCTAGCACTAGTGTTGGCAACCTCGTGGACCATTTACGAGGGAATTCCATTCCAGGGAACGATTTATGGCAAGAGATTTAGTACCTCGACGTAACGCAAGCCCAGCTGAACATTACGGTTAATTTCGGGAACCGAGCTGAATCGGCAGATTCCCAGTTCTCTCCTAAACGATTGCACACACTGAGAAATAAGATTAGTTGACACAAAGAAATATGTACTTGGACAACAAAAAGTCCATCAGGTACGTCCAAAGAAATGTCATTGAGTAAATAAAATTAGTTTAAATCAACATCAATTTTTCTTAACAAAATAATTGTTGGCAATTATATGACTTGAGCAACAATGTATATTTGTTTCAGTCAACTAATCTTTCTCGGTGTAGTACAGGCATGGCTCAGTGACTGGAGGATATTCCATAAAAGCGGACAATTCTTGACAATCGTCTGGATATTTCGGAAGATTGCATGGACATTAAACCAGGTGTCTTGCAAAAATTATCAAAAAAGGAAAATCGACACCAATTCTCGAGAGACTGATTAGGTTGGGCTCTCGAGGCTCGATTAGACGTACTCTTCGGAAGGTTTAGGAATGCTAGCAGGCAGTCTAAGAGTGCTGGGCACTCTGCTGGCACTATCGGGTAGTTCGGCGATATCGATAAAGACTCCGACTAGACTCTCGAAATTCGGGCCCCAATTAAGAAGATAATCCCAACTCAGGGCAGTGTTTGTTGAAGGCGACCCATTATTGGTGGCCCTGTAAAGACCACCCATATGTGTGGAAAGATCATCATCCGAAGCAACCAGAGTGCTCAAGGAACCTCTGAATGAGCTGTCGAATCCATCATAATTGACATTGGGAGGTAGAGGAGGTTTTGTTGACTGGGAGGACTCGTTGGTTCTAGAGGCGACCTCTTCGTCGTCAGGCTTGCTGAAGAGATTGTCCGACCTCTTATCCCCAACGAGGGAGTTGTTGTCGTACTCGATTTCAGAACAGGTGAAGCTGTCGTTTCCACTCTCGTCAGTGGTGGAGGAGTTCCTCCTTTCGAGTCTTTCAGGTGGAGGAGTGTGCCTTCTATGGAGATGTAGAGGTCCATGTGTTGGAGGTCCCCTGGCTTCGCTGGAGGAGCTGACGGCATCCAAAGTGGAGACCAAGCTGGACGTTCTGGGCCTTGAGTTCAATCTCTCTATCTCTTCAGCAGTAAGACCCATGGGGCCCGAGGGTACATTATTAACATTTTCATTATTTGACTGTGGAGCCTTGCGACTCGCAGTGGAGCCAGACAATTGGCTCATGATGGGAGAGTTGAGACTCCTTTCGCTGTTGGAATTCAGTGCATCTTTGCCCACTCCTCCTGACGAGGATGTCGTCGCAAGCAGAGCACTTTGGAGTGGTTTTCCACTGATGTCGTGTAGTGTTAAAATTCTAGGCTGCTGAGCCGACAACTCGCTGCTGGGAGATAGTCTAGCTAGAGGAGTACTTTGTAGTAATTTAGGAGCTGACCCTGGAGTCTGTCCAACGGTTGGTGGTGGCATGGCCCGAGGGGGAAATGGTCCAGCATGTCTGTGTTGTTGTCCAGCATGTTTGTGATGATTCGAATAATTCCCAATCGGAGGAGGAGTAGCCTTGTATTTTCTCATACCATCTCGGTACCCTTTGTAATGATAGACAATGTCGATGTCACTGGGTGCGATAGAACTGGCGTTCTCCAGGTCGTAGTGCTCTGGCATATCAGGTTCGGGATTATGTTCGTGCGTATGCAGGGAACTGGGAGCTGGTGGAGGTAGCGGTGGGTGCTCGTCTCTGATCGGCGGTGATTTTGTCACTTCTCGCTCGATAATATCCGGTCGTTGTGGCCTATGTTCTGTGGTGTTGATCTCTCGTTCCTTGTATTTTTTAGAGATCAACTCGGGCCCCATGTGCCCCACACCTCGGAGGTCGGATGTGTCGGAAATGTAAGTGTTTTCGTGGCGGGACATGATGTTCTCATTTCCGGAGCCAACCAAAGAATTGCCACTCATTATGGCGTTTGGTCCTTTGTTCACGCCCGAAGGTCCCGACTTCTCTTTGCTTTGTCGCCTTAATCGAAACACGACGAAGCTGACCAGGATCGCTACCAGGAGGGTGACGAAGAACACTATCACCAAAGTTATTCCGATGCTTAGTGGATCGGGTGCAGCTGCTGCACTGATGCCTGTGGGCCCTCTACATCCCAAACCCACTTTTCCATGGTAAACTACGTCTCGAAACACCGATCCAGATCCATTGAATGGTTGGACCTCGTTGTTGATCGTGAAATTTGCCAAGCAGCCTTCAAAGTTCTTCGGATTTGCGTCGTGGGAGTAGTAGAGGTCTTGTCTAACTCCACCGATGAATAGTGTCGTCAAGTACGGATCCAAGAAATCGTGTACACCTGCAGAGTCCAATTCGTCGCCAGCTAGGACACCATCGATGAACAGCCGAAGTCCTCGGGAGTATGCATGGAGGGTCAAATTGTGCCATCGACCATCGGCCAGTCCTCCATCGATGGTAGCTGTCATATTTACTGGTGATCCTAGTAGGGATGTGTACGTCAACTGCCCATCACGAAGCTGGAAAATGAAGAGTTTAAGTTACACAATATTCCACTCTTTGTTAAGCGTTTATCTTGAGTTATTAGAGTTCCTTTTTGATCGTTGAACAAATTACTATGATGTGGTTCTTGTTAACTACCTCGACAGAAGTGAAATGTTTGTTGGTCGCAGCATAGACCAAGACACCGTCCAGTCGAACGGTCCGGAACATTAATCCAATCGTCTTCGGCGGATCTGGATTCAAGGTTAGAAGGGTCTTTTCCTCGATGGTTTCTCGAGTAGCCCGGTGTTTGTGCCACAAAGTGGATCCGCTGTAGAGGTACTCGAGTAACTGCATTCTTCGATGCTTGTCCGAGACCTGATTAGAGTATAACACGTAAGTATTGCGAACTTGTTATTTTTATAACAACGACTTACAATTTCTTCAGTTATTAGATCAAGTAATAATTGTCGTACTTTGAACTCAATGTATCCTCCGTCACTCAGGGTGATGGGCTCCAGAGCTCCTTGACAATTGGGTGCGGTAAGCTTGCCACATTGACAAACCACTTGGTGCCACTTGTCGTAACATTTCCCTGCATTGCCACAAACCGAGAAGTCGTCGTTGCTCCTGGCACATGGGCTTCTTTCCGACCTGGCACAGGTTGGTTTCACCCCACGAGATGCCAGAGGATTAGTTAAATTAAGGGCCCTTCCATTTATCGAGACCGAGTGAATGCAGCCCACTAGATCATCCGAATGAACTTGTCCGGGTCGTTCCAAGATCGGGTCGGCATTAGCCAAACCACCGAGCATCAGAGGATTATTGTTGAAATTCAGGGTCCTGAGCAGGAGCATCGATTGTTATAATTTTTGATATACGTGATGAAGATATATCGCGTCAAAATATACCAACCCAGTAGGTCCAACGTCATCGGCATAACAAGATCCATCTCCAGGTCTACATTCATCGCAGACGTCACCATGTTCCCTGCAGTTGGACACGCTCAACGAGACCACGCGTCCATTTCTAGTGGCCGTTACTTTACGCCATTCTCCATCAGCCAAATGTCGTCCAGTTTTGATGGTAATCGACGTGATTGCACTTCTTGCGCCTCCGTAGGAAAAGACAACCCTACCGTTGACCAGCTCCAAGACAACAAAATCGGAGCGTCCTCCACTTTGGGGTCCATAATTGTACAGCAAAAGGGCGTTCGGTTTCGTCGTGGCGAAAACGACCGTAATGTCGTTTGTATTCGAGTCCAGCGATGGGAAAGACATGTACGACAATTCTTCGAAGCCGAATGTGGAGCGTTCGCAATGTCTCCCGTATCTGCCTTCTGGACAGCTACACCTGTACCTGTTGATGCAGAAATATAGGTACATTAATATTTTTGGTTTTAGACACTTGTTTAGGATGTACCTTCTCATAACACATATTAATTCAAAGCTATCGCCAAGCACGTACCCTGGTTGCTGACCAACACATAGTCCGCCGTGCAGACAAGGATTGGGTCTGCAAGAGTTCGTAACGGCCTCGCAATGATTCCCTCTATATCCAGCACGACAAAGGCAAAAGAAGCTGAATCCATCTGGACTTTCGCGACAGGAGCCTCCGTTTCTGCAAGGATTGCTGGCGCAGGCATCACCTCTTTCCAATTCGCATAGTTTTCCTTCTCGATCGGCGGGACATGTGCAGTGGAAGTCGTATCCCAGGCGTCGACATTGACCTCCCTAAATAAATCATAGTCAAGTATGTACCTTCGCAGAATTTATTAAAACCTATTAAAAGGAAGGAAGCAACAATTCGTTGACTACTCACGAGCAGACAAGGATTTGGAGAGCAGGGATCTTGTCTTCTTTCGCATCTATCGCCGGTGAATCCATCATGGCACTTGCAAACCATTTCGTGTACCACTCTTGGCGAGGTCAGGATTAATGTCTGGCTGTCCGTGATTCTGGCATCTTCATAAACAACCAACTGATCGCTGCAAATTCCTCCATTCTCACATGCCATGTGTTTGCACGGTGAATAACCGATGGTGATGTCAGCACCTTGCAACAGAGTCTGCATCTCTTCCTTCTTCCGTAGGAGTAGGTCCGTTACTTCGGTCTTGGAGAAAAATCCTAAGGAACGAATTAAAATTTGCCGTTAATCGTGATCTATCAGTGGGCAACAACGTGGCGGAAATCACGTTATCGATTAGTTTAAAACTGACGATAGTAACCTTGGGGTGATTCAATGGCTAGTGGGATCTCCAGGTTCTCGTTGTTTTCGCCGATGCTGTAAATTAACAGAGAATCGCCGACATTGATTTCAGCCTGCAGGAGGTCCAAGAGAGCTCGATAATGCTGCCCTAGGAATTGACCAGCTCCTAGTCTGGATATCTGTAGAGTCACGCTATTCTCCACTGTGGCGTTGGAGAAGGTCAAGAACTCCACGGTCACTTTGGATACCACATTAGGGTGTATGCCGTCATTGCCGGAAACACTCAGAGAATAGCCGAGCTCTACAAGAAAAAAAAAAAATAGATAATGTATCAAGAAGTCACATTGGATATCACATCAGGGTGTATGCCGTCATTACCAGAAACATTCAGAGAATAGTCGAGTTCTACAAGAAAAACAAATAGGCAATGATGATGATATTTCTATTCTCCGCACACTCTTAACGATGTTATTACTTGTTTATTAACGTAACATATCTCCTAAGATGCGATGAATTATTAATGCCTCTCTCCTCCTTCGTCCCCTCGATGCCGGCAATTTTCATACTAATTTATGAACTTCCGAACACGAACCTGGTGTAATTTTGCTGGTATGCAAATCGCAAGCGGCCGGAATATTGAGTACCCCAGAATTCGAGCCCTGGAGTATTTTGCATGTATAGTCTCCAGCAGTGTCGGGATCGTTTGGCCGGATGTCCGCGATTTTTCCCAACGGAGTACGCCCGTTAAACGAGTGGACCATTATGTGAACGGATCTTGGAGTCGAAGGACTGTCATTCTGGTCCAGCACTATCACGGTCACCGTATGTTCGCTCTTCATCCTTGGCACCCCGGAGTCTTCTACTTCGACCTAGAAGAGACAATGAATTAACCACTTGAATAATCCCAGTGAGTGTTGCGCGAGTACATACACTGTTAAAGAAATACTATAATTTTATAACATTTTTATTGGAAGTTTCTTTCAGACCAAATCAGGAAACTCGGTAGAGTTTCGCACCAAATGCATTAAAAAGCATGCGCGAATGTTCGGTAATACGTACTATAAGATCCAGCTGTGGCATGGTTTCCCTGTCTAAACTTCTGGTGGTCCTCAGCAATCCTGAGTGTTTATCAAGAACCACAGCGTCTTTGTGACGACCACCGATGATTCTGTAGGAAAATGGAGCGCCATTCGGTGGAAGATCAGGATCGGTTGCACTCAGCGTCATGATGCTGGTCCCAGCTGGCTCATTTTCGCTGACATATCCAGTTACTTCAGGTGGGTCGAAAACTGGACCATTATCGTTAACATCTAAGAGTTCAATGTGAACAGTCGCGGTTCCCGTTTGCGGCGGTGATCCGGTGTCGATGGCACCAACAATTAATTCGTACGTCGGCACGGTTTCGCGGTCCAGTTGTTTAGCAGTTTCAACTTCTCCAGTTTGTGGGTCTACCTTGAAAGCTTGGCCTATGTTGCCTCCAATAATGGAATACGAGAACTGATTGTTCTGTGGACGAACATCCTTGTCGACAGCTCTGACCGTTAAGATACGAGTACCATGAGGGGCACCTTCGGATACATTAGCGTCGTAGGTGTTCTGCAGGAATTCCGGAGGATCGTTTCCATCCTGGATCGAGATGATGACCTGAGCTTCGTCGGTATCGTTGCCGCGGATTCCACCAGCGTTTTTCGCCATGACGGTGAGGACGACTCTGTTCTGCGTTTCTCGATCCAGCCTTCTGGAGACACTAATGATGCCTGTTTCAGGACCGATGCCGAAACCACGGTCGTTCGAAGAACCTACGAAGAGATAGTAGACTCTTCCATCGGCTCCAGCATCTTGGTCGGTTGCCTGGACCAACCCAACGGAAGTTCCTACTTCGGCACTCTCGGACACGTCCATGTGGAAAACGGGTTGGATGAATTTTGGATAGAACTCGTTGACGCCGGTTATGTGCACCGAGACGGTGGTAAAGCCAACCATTTGGGGATTGGACTCTGGATTTGCGGCAACGATGTCCAAAGTGTACTCGTTTGCCTCTTCATAGTCGAAGCTCATCTTGGACGAGATGACGCCGGAGCTCTGCTGGATTTGGAAGTGGTCCTTACCGGTACCACCCAGGATCCTGTACTGAACGATCGCATATTTAGGCGAATCGATATCCGTGGCTACCACTTTATAGACGAAACTATGAGGCGGTGAATTTTCCGGAAGAAAAGCTTCGTAGAGGCTCTGGTTGAAGATAGGTGGGTTGTCGTTGATGTCGGTCAAGATGACGGTCAAAGTGGCGGTGGTTTGTCGCGGCTCGAAGCCTAAATCTGTCGCCGTGATGTTCAATCGGTACTGCTTGACGGTATCATAATCTAGAGGTTCCAGGATGATGACGGCTCCTGTGACTGGATGTACCGAAAATTCTTTCCGCTCGTTCCCGGCGGAAATCTTGTACCGCACGAGACCGTTTGGTCCATCGTCCCCATCGGCAGCGGAGACTATAACAATAGTCGAATTTACCGGCTCGTTTTCTGGCACTATCACTTGATAACTCAGAGCGGTAAAGGTCGGAGCGTGGCGATTCTCTCCTGTTATCACCAGGGTCAGGGGGACCTCGTCCTTCTGTGGTGGAACCCCTTTATCCATGGCACGAGCCGTCAGAACAAACGTGGTCCCAGCTCGGAGACCGGCGAGGCTCTTATGGACATGTACCCAACCGGTTCGCTCGTTTACAGAGAAATATTCGCTACCATTACCGCTCACAAAGGAGTACTCGATTTCTGCATTCACGCCGAAATCTGCATCGTCTTTTGCGACCAACATGACGACTTTTTTCCCAACGGAGTACCCTTCGGGTACAGGCGACAAATACGAACGCTGCTCAAATCTTGGAGCGTTATTGTTGGCGTCCACCACGCTGACGTAGACGACAGTCTTCGACGACATGGGTGGCTTTCCGTTATCGGTGGCAACCACTGTTAAGGAGTACAGATTTTCCGGGGAAGACGGCCGGTGGGTGTGCTTGTATCTCAAGGTCCTTTTGCTGAAGATGTCCCCCGTGGCAGGGTCAACGGTGAAGAGATCGGATGGTTGCAGAAGGCTGTAGGATATCACCGAATTCGGACCCTGTTTGTCACGATCGGTTGCCGTGACTTGACCAACATGGGCAGCTCGTCGTTGCAGCTCTGGGAAGTGGAAATGATAAGACTCCTCGTCGAATTCTGGGGCGTTGTCGTTTTGGTCCTGGATGGTTATGGTCAATGGAGTCTGCGCTCCCCAGGCGCCGTCCGTTATAACGACCTGAAAATAACGTATATCAATACCCAATTATTGGTTAATTCATTTTAATATTTTTAAACCGCATTGTTAAAGTAACCAACCTTCAGGAGATATTCATCTTGTTCTTCTCTATCTAGGTGTCCTTTGACCGTGACGTTTCCACTGAGGGGGTCGATCGAGAACTTTCCTCCTGGATTTTCTGCGAGAGTGTACGTCACGTTGGCATTTTGACCGACATCCAGGTCACTGCTGGTCAATCGGATTACGAATGATCCAATTTCTGCATTCTCGGTGACGTTTACGCTGAACAGTCGAGTGAATTTGGGAGGGTTGTCGTTTTTATCCTGAACGGTGATCAAGACTGTGGTGGTGCCAGAGAGTCGCGGTTCCCCTTGGTCTCGGGCCTCCACTATCAATTCGTAGCTGGCAATCTATAAAACGGGATAATTATGCCTATTATGCCAATCGTAAAACGCAGAAAAATAATTCAGTTACAACAAGAAATTTTACATGCAGTAACAAAGGTGAACACTTAAAAATGGGCCAGCAAAACTTTTGCCCAAAAACTTTTGTTACATCGACGACAGAAAAACTATTACATCCCTGGGTCAACAGAAATTCTATTCGTAATTGGAATATTGTTTTCTAGCGACAAAAAATTGCATGTCGCTCATTTGTTTTAGTAGAGACGACAATAGTTTTTGGGCCGTTGCAACAAATTCATTTGTTACTTTAGCAAGCATTTTGTTTATGGCGATTTTTCCCGCAGTAAGTGCAAAACTTTATTAGCCGTGCTGAATTTTTCTAAAAGTGCAAATGTCTTTTTTTTCGAAGAAATAAACCATACCTCAATAGGTACTAGAAAAGTATCGGAGAAATGTTGAAGAGCACCCACCTCCTCTCTATCTAATTTTGCGTTCGTGTTGATCTCTCCAGAGTTCTCGTCGATGACGAACGTTTCGGCAAAGTCGTCGACCAGGTGATAAGTAACTTGGCCATTTTCCCCAGAGTCAGCGTCCTTGGCGGATACTCTTGCGACAAATTGCGGTGGATATTCGTTCTCCGGTACCGTTGCATTGTAAAGCGGTGCTTCCATCACGGGTGCATTGTCATTTGCATCCGTCACGTTAACGAGCAGCTGAACGACACTTCTAAGAGCAGGTGTATCCGAATCGCGAACCTCGACCCAAGCCTCGTAATGTGGTGCCGTTTCGAAATCGAACCCAGAAGCTACGAGCACCTGAAACACGGTCAATTATGTAGTCGGGTACGCAACAGATTCTTGGCTGGCTTTATGAGTATTTAGGTCCCGATTGTTAATGCCATTCACTATTAATGATAATAAGATCAAGAAGGGACATAAATTTACCTGGCCAGTGTGAGAGTCGATCCTAAGAGCGTCTCCCACGTTTCCACCGGCCATGCCGAAGACCAGATTTCCAGCAGCTCCTTCTTTCGGGGTAGAGGCACTCAGGGTCGTGATGACTCTTCCTTCGGGCACGTCTTCAGGAAGCGTGAACCTCGTGTTCACGGTGGACCGGAAGTTGGGAAAGAGTTGTCGTTCCCAGAGATGAATGACTAAATCGGCGGTGACGGACTGCGGCTCGACCCCGCAATCGGATGCCAGGATTTGCAGCTGATAAGTCGTAACCGCGCCGGTAGCTAATTCCTGAGTAGCCCTTATCACTCCACTGTGTGGATCGATGACAAACTTTTTAGCATCTTCCCCCTGGAGTCTATAAACGATGCGAGAGTTTTCCCCGTCATCGTCGTCAACGGCTTTCGCTCCAAACACAAAGTCACCTGTAGGGGTCAATACAGGATTAATACATTCACGGACATTCTAAACACCTATACAATGAAAGGATTGCCGTTCAACGGGAAGAAAATGATTACTCTAATCGGGACGCATCGGCAATAATTTCCCTGTTCATCCTGTACATAGCCATGAAATACGTAACCAGATAAGATTTCTTCGAGAATCGTAGGATAAGAAACAATGGGCAATAATTCTTACCTAGGCGCGATTACCCGCCTGAACTTGTAAGAAATGTTAATTATTTATCTGGCAGTTACATGCAAATAAACCGACCTAGAAGTAGACTCTTACCCTGCCGATTACCGACACGTGAGAACGAACTTTCCTACCGTTACTCCTACCTGAATTACAATTTACGATGAAACCTTAAGCACAGGAATAAAGCTAAATCACGCAATGCGAATGAAGTTGTAAGTGCCGCGCAGGAATAATCTACGTCCACATTCACAAGAAAAATTATCGAATATCATCGTTATCATTACCTGGCTTGGTGGCATCCGGCACGTACGCCGTGTACCTAGGGCTGGAAAATCTAGGCGCGTTGTCGTTCAGATCTCTGACGGAAATCGTCAAGTTAATGGCAGAAGCACGTGGCTCTGTCGGACTGGAGTCCTGAGCTATCAAGGTCAGATGATAAACGGAAGTCTGTTCTCGGTCCAATGGTTCCAAAGTGATCACTTCACCGGTGTCTGGGTCGACCGAAAATCTCTCGGCCTTATCTCCTAGTAGGCTGTACCTGTAGAACACCGCGTTTTCGTTTGTTTACAAATTCACATTCCCAATTATGTACTCACATTTTTGCATTTTCGAATTGTCGAATTTTCGGATTTTCGAATTTTCGGATTTTCAAATTTTCAAATTTTCAAATTTTCAAATTTTCACATATTCACATTTTCACATTTTCACATTTTCACATTTTCACATATTCACATATTCACATTTTCGCATTTTCGCATTTTCACATTTTCGCATTTTCACATTTTCACATTTTCGCATTTTCACATTTTCGCATTTTCGCATTTTCGCATTTTCGCATTTTCGCATTTTTGCATTTTCGCATTTTCACATTTTCACATTTTCACATTTTCACATTTTCACATTTTCACATTTTCGCATTTTCACATATTCACATTTTCGCATTTTCACATTTTCACATTTTCACATCTAGCTGTCACATTAGGGTCACTCTTTTAATTAAAATCCCGGAAAACTTAGAACAGGAACTCACCGAATCTTCGCGTTGAGTCCTTCGTCCTTATCGGTGGCCAAGGGCTTGGCAACCCACGCTCCTGCTGAGAGATTCTCAGTGACCGTAGCTTTGTACTCCTGCCTCGCGAATTCTGGACTGTGATCATTGACGTCAAGGACCACGACTCTGACGATGCCGGATCCTGTTAGGGGTGGGGAGCCTACGAATCCAAGGAAAAGAAAATTTAAAAATCGGGTCATCGGTGTTTACTCGCCTTTCTGCGTAAGCGGTAACATAGATACATCTAATACTGCCATGGGGTGCATTAGGGACGAGCAGAATTGGTCCTGGTCTTGATATTGCAGAATGTGCGAGACTAAGATTCGAGTATACAAGATCAAGTCCAAGACCACCTTGGTCTCGCATCCGTTCATCGCTATCGAGCACCGAAGTGAAATTAGTCTCGCGCTCCCTTCCCGGTCTCCGTTCCTTCCTTCGAAAGAGCGTCTGCGAATCTCCCGCAACTCGGCCACGCGCATCCCAGGACTACTGCATTTAGCTTAGCAATTATTCCTACGAACCGCCGGCTCCGTGCACGGTTGGACTTGACCTCGGGACTCGGACAGGGCCAGCCTTCCAGTTTCCCAGCGCGGTCCAGGAACGGACTATCCACCGGGAGAGCGTTGCACCGTGCAATTCTAGCCGCATTTACGACGTCCGCGCATCCGGCTTTCGCGTAATTGAGGATTTCGTGGAAGCGTATCGCGCCGGGGCCTAAAACGCCTATTAGTTGCGTTTGCGTTTGCGTTTGCGACTGCGTCTCCGGCGGATCCACGAGTGCCGGCTGCCTAGGATCCCGCGAGGAACGGTGCCAATGTATCAGGCTTTTATGGGTTTGCTCGGTGGACGGTGTGCTTGCACGGACATAATCCAGCATGAGTTAATGCCTTGCTTAACAACGATGGACAGAGCCGTGGGGGACCGATCGAGGGAGAAAGAGACCAAGGAACCGGCCCTTCCGATGGCGGATAGAGAAGGCGAGACTTGGTCCATAGGCCGATAGGACAGAAGTCGAGAGCCAAAGGACAGAAATTCGGAGACCGTCCCGAGAGAAAAAAAATCCATCGAGCCCCAAGAAATAATTCTTTGAATTTTACAAAAAAAATATTTCATTGACTGATACGAAAAAAAAAGAAATATTCCATTAATCGAAAGAGTAACTATTTGGCACAAACTCAAGTAAACTGTCACAATTCCGAAGAAACGTTGCATCCAATTCATTCGAGTTTATTTTTTATTTAAGTCAAATAATTATTTTGTCAATTGACGAAATATGTCTTTGGTTCATTGAATTGTTTCTTCTCAGTCTACCGGTTCCTGTCAGATTACCAAAGTTAAGCAGCGTGTTGGCTCCTTAGAAATCATTGATCCTGGATTAAAAAAAATAAATCGGACAAATGTATAAAAAGAAATAAAGAAACAAAACCGTCTAGCTCGGAGACGATAAGGATGGGATTTCTTCTCGATATGGAGACGCTCGAAAATGAATATGGAAAGGGGATCGAGGTAAGAATTCCCGCCATGGGCATAGGTGTTCCAACAACGAGCCGAAGCCTGGACTCGCAATGAGTTTCTACGGGCCGATCCGTGGGCTGGCTTATAGCGATTCGCCCGAACAAGATTCGATACAGGGTGGTAACTGTAAAATACGCCGGCACGAATGTTGCTCGCAGCTTATCGCGCGAAGGCATGCGACTTCTGCGGAGCTTAGTCGTCTCTCCTCGCCGGTGCAAAATCTCGTCCCATAAAGCCCTGCGTGCCTCCTCGTTCGTTACATCTATCACATATATCTCCTTACTAAAATTCCATTACATCGCCGTTAAAAATTACGTTACGATATTGCCACCCGGAGGATCCAGGAGAGCGGATCTTCCTCCCTAGGTGAAAAGACATTTCCGCAAAGTGGCTTTGCCCCCAAAGCAGAAACGATGACTTCAATACTAGATAAAGTATCAAATGATTCGATACACCCAATTTGGAGAAGTTTAATACATTTTTTTACGTTTTATATGTACATAGAATGACCATTTCATATCACCTTAACCGGGTGCGCGCGCAGGTACGCGAGCGTCACATGGCTGGTGCACTCGTTAATTCATGTAATTTATAATTTTCCTAACATTGTGCATGGTGTCGAGTTCACGCGCACTTGGATGTCTTCTAACGAGCGTGGTTCCGTTTTCATAGGGAAGAAATATCGATGCGACCAGGTGTTGCCGACTTGAAACGCTAAGAAAATGGCGTCTAACGACTGTAAAACACGACGACGAGGATTTCGCTCCCTGCTAATCGCGCGGGGCCATGCGATTTCCCCATGACTTGGTCGCACTCTCGCATCCTCAAAAATTGTCAAGTTGCAAAATTACTTTCTGGAATATCGCGCACGCCGAGTGAAAATGGTGTCGGCGGTTACTTTATTAATTAAATGTAAGTATGGTACCGATACTTGGTTCTTACAAGACATTAGGCCGAGTTATTCGACCGAAACCGATCGGAATGCCCGCGTGCAGCCCACCCGAGGACGAAAGACCAAAGGCCACGATCGAATAAAGATAGTGGAGAGGACTCGTCCGATCGAGGGTGATAAGTCTGCCAATTTGAGCCGTAGATTATATTTAATAAGCGGTGAAACGGCGCGGGCGTCGATCTTCTCCCGCGGCGCTTCGACTATTAAATCGACTATTAAATCGACTAACGAGCGCTACTCTCACCGAAAGAATTTCCCTGCGCCGTTAGTAAAAAGTCTCGTAATTTTGTAGCATTCTTCCCAGAAGTTCCGTTCAGACGTGGTACACTAATTCCATAAGTAACTTATGAAACGCGTGTATTGAATTCTCTACTAGAGTCCACCAAATTATGATATGATGGTAGTAAATTAAAGCACCGTATAAAAATGATGACATCGCGACATGAAATCTCGATCGAAAGGCGTAAAAAGGAAGAAGGGTTCCTGCGCGAGCTTAAAATTGTAATGTCGTATAAAAATGATGACACAACGACGTGAAATTTCTACCGAAATGGGGTTTGGTGTTTGCAAGACCAGAGGGGGATAGAAAAGTCGGAGGTTCGGGTCTCGTTCGAGAAAAGGCGTAAAAAGGAAGAAGATGGCGTACGGGAGTCGAGGCCAAAGACACGTACCGCGAGCTTACTCGTAGATTTATTCGCACTCGAGCTCGACGCCTCCGTTGAGATGCCACCGAGAATATACCCACCGAGTCGGTGGACGAGAGAGTCTCCTTCGGGGCTCTATTGCCAAGAGGGAGAGTTAAAGAGGGAGCAGCACACCTCGGCGCATACCTACGCGCCCGCCTTTGTGTGGGTATGACAAATTCGTCTGCGATTAATCTCAAGCCGCGCGCCACCACGCCGTAGCGATACGTGGGGCACATACAATGCCTCCGGCACATACGTCTATAGGGTGTCCCTACCTTCGACGACATTTCCCTGGGCCGCGACACCGCGCCATTTTTGGTACTCGAATCAAAATTTTAACCCTTCTTTGAGCCTACATAAAGTAAGACCTCTTTCGATCGCGCTTCAATTATTTACCTCCTCGTTTTAACATTTAATGTTCTACTTTCCTAGAATGAAGTCCTACTTTGGACCTACAAGTAGACAAAATAATAATAAAAAATATCTGCCATTTTTAAGGTTTACAGTAGGACCTCGAAGGTTTGAAGGTATATCGTATCAAAACCCATTTAAAAGCAATCGACCGCACCGATCGACACCCACCGACCGACTGTGAACCCAGCTTACAAGGTCTAAAATCAGTTGCCCTCTTTCGGTCCAAACATTCCCTCGAGACGTACTCAGATAATATCCAACTTTTAGCCGATCTCTATCTCTGTAAAATAATTTCTACTCGTACAAGGGGAAAGACGTGCCGGCGCTACGTGCAGAAAGTCGACGACGACGAAATGGCTAGTCGGCGAAGTCGATGGCGACCGAACGCGAAGGAGAAAGGAAAGAGCGGACACCTATTGTTGGCCGAGGCCAGCCCAATTTTCTTGTCAGAGATAAAATCCCTCTCGCGTACCTATCTTCGAGCTCTTCGCCCAAGTCTCGACCCGACTCTCTTCGGACTCCGCACTCGCTGCGTCACGATGTACCAGTTGGACCGACTCGTTAAACGAGTCCAAGAATAATTAAAATCTCTAACGACTTGGGCCAAAGCCAAAAGACCGCCGTGGATTCGAGAAGCACGATATCGAAATACCATTATTCTTCGTTTGGCAAATTTTTGTGAATCATGTACACCGGAGGATATACCACGCTACATGATCCGACCATCATAGGAAAAAGGTGTTTAAGGTGTTTTGAAAGTGTCATATGTATAAAACAATTTTTGTCGAAAAATTAAATTTCGGGAGTTTCAAGACCTTCATTAGGACTTCCATAATCAGGTGTTAAAGTTTCAAATTATTCGGTGCCCTCACCCTGACAAAAATATTTCATTTCCCCCAGATAATGCTTTCGCGTCACTTTAAAGGAGAAATTGACAAAATCAAATGATTTCGAGTGTTCGAATTCGGCACACCGAGTATGGTAAAACTGGTAAATTTATTCGCTTTTTTTTCCTTCTCACGCCTTGCTTGCCTCTCCCTCTCTCTCGTTAATGTGTCATTTAAAAGACGGCCAAACCGATGGGTGGCACGAGAAAGGCAAAGTGAAAATATGACCGAACTTTGCATTTTTTACATCCTTCCCTTTAAAGCGTGGGCCCGAATTTAACAACGTCGTTAAACCCTCGCCATCTCGCGTCGAACGAAACATTCCGTCGAAGTGAAAAGTAATTATACGTGGATTTGGAGACCGTGTACAGTATGTACTTATTTTTATTGACCAGTGAATGGGCGTCCTCGGCCAATAAACACAAAGTAGTGGAATTCACGTATTACACCCGTAAATCCAGTGGAAATAGGGCCTTAAGTGTAAAAATTAAACGTTTATCCACCCACGGTTTTTTCTCTACGTTAAATATACATTTACATGAAACGTTGATTTTATGCGTTAAGTTTTGCGACGCGTTGATCCCCATTCGAGAAGAAACGAGTGCTTTAACGATATTTGAACATACAGTAAATGATTATAAACGATTTTACCTACGGACTACATTTAAACGACGTTCGTGTTCCACGATTGAACGATAGTTTAACA